TGTTTGTGGGTGGCAATCTTGTTACGTGGAGGAGCAAGAAACAAAAGGTGGTGTCTAGATCTAGTGCTGAGGCCGAGTATCGGGGAATGGCCCATGGTGTATCTGAGTTACTATGGTTGAGGAGATTGTTGAAAGACCTTGGTTTTGGGCCTAATAAACCCATGGATTTATATTGTGACAATACGGCTGCGATTGCAATTGCTCATAATCCTGTACAACATGACCGTACAAAACAAGTGGAGGTTGATCGAAATTTCATTAAAGAAAAGTTGGATGCGGAGATTGTGTCCTTCCCCTTCATCCGTTCAGAGTATCAGTTAGCTGATGTTCTTACGAAAGCTGTTTCTACAAGTATCTTTCTCAACTCGCTTCATAAGTTGGGCATGCGTGACGTCTTTGCTCCAACTTGAGGGGGAGTGTTGGCGAGTAGAATATATCCTATTCTATTTGGGTTTTATTTATTTTTCCTTTTGTATAGATATTATGTAATTAGGATTCCACTTATTTCCTAATTAAACCCTACTAGGATTTGTAACCTGTATTATAAATACCTCCTTTCGGAGAATGAAATATATCTGAAAATATTCTACCCATATTGTTTGACTAAACCGACTTGGGAGTTGAAGGTGGTACGTTCTTATTCGACGTATCTCAAGACCAGGCCACGTTCATGGTAAGATATTATTCACTTTTGAATGCATGTGACTTGCTGAATGCTGAATCCATATTGCAAAATTTTCCCCTAGACTCGCTATAAGGAAATATCCCTGAATGTATTTTTACATGAAAACTGTTTTTCATCTGTTTCCAAACCAGGGAAGTGGCAGCTATAAGATGGTATAAGAATGTGGTATACAAATGTGGTAAGAGTTGCATTATTCATTAAACAAATGGAAAGAATAAAAGAGAGGGTGAGATATTAAACAAACGGCAAATGGGGCACATCCGACAGTCAAAACACAAATCCATAATGGATTCACATACTTCAACTCCATAATGGAGAATGACCCCATATATATCTATATGGGGCGGAACGGTGGCATTACAAATTTGACATAAGTTTTCAACCATTAGATTAGGCTACAATCAATGGCTAAGATTTAACAAACTAATTATTTACTTTTTAAATAATTAGATTAAGCTGCAAGTTTTCTCTTTAATTTTCTGGGAGGTAATTGAAGTTGTTGGAGTGTTGTTTTTATTTTATTTTTGTTGGCGGAAATTCGAGAATGTATATTATGCCAAAATTTTGAATCAGTTTTTTAAAAGAGTAATGCTATTTAGAAAAACAACATTGACCACCATAGTTGACCACCTTATGTGGCAACTGATGTGTCATGCCATGTGAATTAATGAATGTTGCCATGAGGCCACTTACAAGAAACGCTAGGGTTTTTTAATTTATTTTTTAATTGACATAACAATATTCATTAATTGACTTGGCATGACACATCAATTGCCACATAAGGTGGTCAACTAAAATGGTCAATGATTTCTCTAGCCAAGTTATTTTGGTGTGCACATGATGGATATCCGATATATAATTTGATTATTCCTTTTAACTTTTTTGACATCATCACTATATTCTTTTCCTTGATATGCATATACGGATGATAAAAGAAAAACATTTTAGACGGTCATCTAGAAAAATACAATTTCCAAAATAAATTTGAAAAATTGCAAGTCACACATGATGGAATGGAGGCTAGTCATATGAAATTTAAAAAAAGAAAAACAATTCCAAAATATATGATAAAGAGAAGCAAACTTCTAATAAAAAAAGAAGAAAAAAACCAATGGTTAAAGACAAATTAGAACACAAAATAATTGTTAAAAACCATGTTCCTGATCCTGAACGAGAGACCAGGAAGGAAGGAGGGACGGTTACTGAGATAAGGCATGACGGTTAGGTTACTATCCTTTTCCTCTACATGAAAAAACCACATTAATGTCCTTCGTTTGGGACTCAAAATCACCAAAGAAGACGGCTGCAAAAGCTAATTGACTCTAATCGAGTCATGCTTTTCATGAAAGGAACCCCTGAGGAGCCCAAATGTGAATTTAGCAGAATGGCTGTTACTCTTTTGAAGTATTATGAGGTTGAATTTGGAAGTTTTGATCTTCTTACGGACAATGAAGTCATGGAGGGGATACAGAAGTATTCTAACTGGCCGCATTTACCACAAATCTACTTCGAAGGGAGGGCTCGTGGTTTCCGTCACATAGAAACTTTAATGAAAGGTTGCCCAAGTGAATGCAGTAAAGATGCTTTTGAATAGAATACACAATAGAAAAGTTGAACAAGAGAGAAAGCACTCAATTTTTGCGAAATGTGATTTTGATTTTGATGAAGGAAAAAAGATATATTAAGGCATTTGTAATTTAATGTTTTGATTCTTAAAGGGTGTTTATTTGCCTGGCTAATTTCTGTTTCTTTTATGATTTACTTTTCTTTGAATATTACACTCTGTTAGTGGACAACAAGGCAAGTGGCTTTGAGATGTTAACCAATTGATCAATGGATAATGAATTTGTTTCAATAATATAATATTCCATTAAGAATTTTTAATGGGATTACTGTCCAGAAATGAATATATAATATACTCTAAACTGTGGACTTGAAATATTATCTAAATGTCACTTTCCTCTCGGAATTCGTTTTTTGAAATCTATAGTGCCTTAACTATTACTACAAGCATAATCTGACTGTTAATGATGTTGAACCAAACAAAAAAATTTCCAATTTGCATGAACGTATTTCTACCTATATACCAATGCATTTTGTATATGCATGAGCATATTTCTGTGTAGATGATGGTGAAGAACCCATCAAGGAAGAAGTTGTAGGTTTGTTCACGAATTCTACGCAGTATTTCACTTCCTCTGCTTATATAACAAAGGTAAAATGCAAAAGTTAAAGAAAAGTTTTAATAATGAGAATGAGTTAAATGTCGAAGAGGCTGGGCTACCCATGTCATATGAAGAATAAGGAGTTAAAATAACATACATTCAAAGATATTAATAATTGTATTAGACAAGTCAAATAAAATCGTACACATAGAAAAGGGAAGACTTGCCTTTTAGGATCCTCCTTTTTAAGAAAATTAGGAAATTAACTTTAGTTAAGGAGGAGATCATTAACTAATGCCAGTCATATTAAGGTTTGTTTGTTTTTGTAGTCTTTCATGTGTCCATCAGGGATCAATGACTTTCCAATGCCAGTCATATTAAGGTTTGTTTCATGAGATTCAGTCTTCCCACTGTCATAGAAATATCTGATTCAGCTTGCAAAATAAATTAAGAATGGAATCATTGACTGAATTGTATTGCTGCTTATCCAACTCTATCTGTACTAATTTAATCTGCATAATCAATTATTCATTCGTGATGGCTGAAGACTTGCATGATCATTTGGCTTCCTGAGATGCAATGTTGTTTGCATAACTCTGATGTCTTTTCAAACATATTTATATTGTTTTCAATTATCTGTTCCTTAGGAGGGACTGTCTGTACTGGCAAAATACAGAAGGCCTCTTTACCAGTACACGCAGAGAAACAACTAGATCTCGTAAGCGACTTGGGAGTTGAAGGTGGTACGTTCTAATTCGACGTATCTCAAGACCTGGCCACCTTCATGGTAAGACATTATTGACTTTTGAATGCATGTGACTTGCTGAATGCTGAATCCATATTTCAAAAATTTCCCCTAGACTTGCTATAAGGAAATATCCCAGAGTGTATTTTTACATACGAAAACTGTTTTTCCTCTGTTTCCAAACCAGGGAAGTGGCAGCTATAAGGTGGTATGAGAATGTGGTTTATAAATGTTGTAATAGTAACATTATTCATTAAACAAATGGAAAGAAAGAGAGAAGAGGAAATAGAATTTAAAAAGAAAAAAAAGAGGGTGGGATATTAAACAAACGGCAAATAGGGCATATCCAACTATCAAAACACAAATCCGAAATGAATTCGCATATTTCAACTCCATAATGGAGATATATATATATATATATATATATAGAGAGAGAGAGAGAGAGAGAGAGAGAGAGAGAGAGAGAGAGAGAGAGAGAGAGAGAGAGAGAGAGAGAGAGAGAGAGAGAGAGAGAGAGAGAGAGAGAGAGAGAGAGAGAGAGAGAGAGAGAGAGAGAGAGAGAGAGAGAGAGAGAGAGAGAGAGAGAGAGAGAGAGAGAGAGAGAGAGAGAGAGAGAGAGAGAGAGAGAGAGAGAGAGAGAGAGAGAGAGAGAGAGAGAGAGAGAGAGAGAGAGAGAGAGAGAGAGAGAGAGAGAGAGAGAGAGAGAGAGAGAGAGAGAGAGAGAGAGAGAGAGAGAGAGAGAGAGAGAGAGAGAGAGAGAGAGAGAGAGAGAGAGAGAGAGAGAGAGAGAGAGAGAGAGAGAGAGAGAGAGAGAGAGAGAGAGAGAGAGAGAGAGAGAGAGAGAGAGAGAGAGAGAGAGAGAGAGAGAGAGAGAGAGAGAGAGAGAGAGAGAGAGAGAGAGGGATCCCGTAAATAAGCTTATTTGAGGGACACCCTTGTAGGGTCCACTCCTCATTGTATTTCACCAATCCAAACCATCTAGTGTTTAGATAATCATTCAAAGATAATCTCTACAAAAAATCACATGAATCCGATATCATTTGACCACTCAATTGAGTTATTAAAATTTTAGTACTTTCTTGAAGTACCGTGTTCATTGATTTTGTATGACACAATTGGATGTTGAAATGGAGACTAGTCATATGAAATTGATTTTGATTTTGATTTTGTAGGACATAATATAGTTATTTGTTGAATGCAGGCTAGTCATATGAAATTTTTAAATAAATAAAAAACAGTTCCAAAATCTATATATATAAAGCAAAAGGCAGAGAATGGTAAAACATTCGAAGTACCAGAAAATGCCCTTAGTTAATGCAACCAGTAAGAGTTGAAATTGTTAATTAAATGAGGATAATATGGTAAATTCACACTTTTTCATTTTAAAAATATTAAAAATAAAAGAAAATTCATATAATGGATCCTATTTTTATGGAACACAACTACTATTATCTTTTTTTAATTCTAAAATAAATTTTTAAAAAAAATTTAATTAAATATATATATTTTTAAAAAGCCTATCACCAACGTAGAAGCGCGTGCAGAGAGGCTAGTATATGATAAAGAGAAGCAAACTACTAAAAAAAATAAGAAACAACCCAAAGGTTAAAGACAAATTAGAACACAAAATAATTGTTAAAAACCATGGTCTTGATCCTGAACGAGAGACCAGGAAGGAAGGAGGGACGGTTACTGAGAGAAGGCATGACGGTTAGGTTACTATCCTTTTCCTCTACATGGAAGTGGAATCTCTTTAGGATCTACTCCAGTGTTTAGAAATTGGTTAATTGGTAAAGATACGTGTACTTGATGTCCCGCCCAAGAAAGAGAACCAAGGCCTAGTAGCCCTGCTAAATGGTGATTCAACATAGAAACTCACGTAATCATTGACCTCTTGCCAATTGATTATGAGTAGCTTTATCGAGATCAGAAGCGAATTGTGCAAAGGCTTCTAATTCTGCAAATTGTGCCAATTCCAATTTTGATTTGCCAGCTACTTGTTTCATGGCTTTAATTTGAGCTAGGATTCCTACCCTGGAAACAGAAATACCCACATCAATGGCCGGTACTCGAACCCGAAACTAGTCGAATGGAGTAGATAATTTCCTTTATTAGAAATTTTAAAATAGGGAAAAAAAAACCTCCCCAGACCGTGCTTGCAGTTTTCATTGCACACGGCTTTCCCTATGCATACATCTAAAATTCAATCCCTTACCCATACACGACTCTAAGAAAGTTGAATACTCAGTTAATCGACCCTCAATCTTACTGTATGAACATTTCATAATACCACATTAACGTCCTTTATTTGGGACTTAAAATCACCGAAGAAAGAAAAATTGAAACGCTACTTGAGGAAACGAAATTCGAAAATCAAAACTAGAAAGAAATTAATGCCCTGCTTATTAAAGCAACAGCAATCTCACCACCATGGCCAGAATAGACTATCCGAGCAAGTGTTTTAACATCACTTGGCAGCTCAAAGTCTTTTTTGGAAGGGATATATTTTTGAAATATAAAAAATAAGAAGTAATGGAAGTTTTATAAATAAAACAAATACCCACCACGTTATTTTAACCTTTAAAATATTAAATTTACTTTTGTTTTTTATTTTATATCAATTAAGTTATCTTGTTTTAGAAGTCTAATTAATAAAGGATATTTATTTAAAAAGTTTCCCTAAATTCTTTAGGAAAAAGGTTGTTTCCCTAAATTTATTATGCCTCGGTCTTTAAAATTAAATCTGTGTTTTCATTCTTCGTCTTCATCTCTCTGTTTGTTTTTATGCGTTTAGGGTTTAGAATTTGGAAGACTCCGCCATCAATGAGTGGATCATTGAAGGATGTGCAATTTAAGGAGCTTGATAACGCGGTCTGGCCCTCGGGGTGTGAGGCTTCGAAGCACATGGACGAGGTTACTTTTCATCTCTAACTGGGTTTTTTATGGCGTTTTATGTGTGTGTTGGTGTTGTGTTTTTAATCTCTAATTGCTGATAAATATTGTAGGTTGAAGCTGAAGAACAGCCTGAACCTTTTTCAGTTTCTGATGTGCATTACTCTGCCTTTATGAAGGTATGCTTATTGGGTATAAATTAATATATACATGTTTGCTTGAATTTTGCTGTTGATAAACTTTTGTAACTAATTTCGTTGTTGGCTTGGGTTCTACGCTTGTTCTGTATGTTGTTCTTCTCTTGGTCATTTTTTGTTTGTGTTTTCTTTTGTCAGGATGGAAAGGTCCTTGATACATCAGAGGGTGCAGATCCATCTAGTTTGGCCAATAAAGTTGCTAGGTCTGCTCCTGCTCCTGCCAGCCTTGGGATAGTCCAAGAGTTAGCAAAAGAAACTGGATCTTCCCATGAGCAAAATCAAGCGCAAAATGGCCTTGAAGATGCTTTGAAAAGGCGGCTGCAAAAGCTAATTGACTCTAATCGAGTCATGCTTTTCATGAAAGGAACCCCTGAGGAGCCCAAATGTGAATTTAGCAGAATGGCTGTTACTCTTTTGAAGTATTATGAGGTTGAATTTGGAAGTTTTGATCTTCTTACGGACAATGAAGTCATGGAGGGGATACAGAAGTATTCTAACTGGCCGCATTTACCACAAATCTACTTCGAAGGGAGGGCTCGTGGTTTCCGTCACATAGAAACTTTAATGAAAGGTTGCCCAAGTGAATGCAGTAAAGATGCTTTTGAATAGAATACACAATAGAAAAAGTTGAACAAAAAGCACTCAACTTTTGCGAAATGTGATTTTGATTTTGATGAAGGAAAAAAGATATACTAAGGCATTTGGAATGTAATGTTTTGATTCTTAAAGGGTGTTTATTTGCCTGGCTAATTTCTGTTTCTTTGATTCTTAATAAGGCCCTTGCCTCCAGTCAGTCATATTGTTCTATTTGATTTGGAAATACTTTTAGAGAAAAATCATTTACGAGTTCATTGCTCCATTTGGTTAATTGAGTGTATTTCTCCCCAAAAAAAATTGTGTGAGCGTCTCTTTTATTTTATGGGAGGTAATTGAAGTTGTTGGACTGTTGTTTTTATTTTATTTTTGTTGGTGAAATTCGAGGATGTATATTATGCCAAAGTTTTGAATCAGTTTTTGAAAATGATTTCTCCAGCCAAGTTATTTTGGTGTGCACATGATGGATAGCCGATATATAATGATTTGTTGATAATTCCTTCTAACTTCTTTGATATCATCACCACACTTCCTTCTTCTTTTTTTTAATTAATAATGTAATTGCATGCAAACAGATATCATGGTTAAAGAACCAAAGACTACAGAACTAATTGATGAAGATGAAGAACTAATGGATGAAGATGAAGAACTAATGGATGAAGAACAAAGAAATGAAATTAAGACTTTTCTTATTCTACACCGGGGCCTCCTAGTCCTACTGGTATGCTTTCGATATTTTTTGTGTGTGAATATAAGCGATAGTCAAAACTACAAGTTAGAAGAAGAAAAATAGATAGCCTCCTCTTTCCTAATCCTATTGGTATGCTCTTGATTTTAGAGACAATAAAGGAAAAAAATGCATGCAGCTTCTCTATTTTATGACATAAGATCTTGTATATATGTTAAAAAGATGATTTTTCCAGCCAAGTTGTTTTGGTGTTTGCATGATGTATAACCATTGTTTCCTTCTAAGTTCTTTGACATTACCCTGTTTGTTTTCTTTTTTCTTTTTGTATTTAACAATGTAATTGCATGGAAACAGGGAGAAAGGCTGAAGAATCAAAGGGTGAGGAATCAGAGGGTGAAGAATCAGAGGGCGAAGAATTTGAGGGGGAAGAATTTGAGGGTGAAGCATCAGAGGGTGAAGAACTAACACCTGAAGAAATTGGTATGCTTTTGATTTTGTTTCAATACGAGCAATAGTCTAAACTACAAGTAGAGTTAGGTTTCTCACACACAACACTACCAAGGTGTCATGGGGGTTTGAATAAATGAAATTGAGACTTCTCTTATTCTACACTGGGGCCCTCCTAGTCCTACTGGTATGCTTTTGATATTTTTTTTGTGTGAATATAAGCGATAGTCTAAACTACAAGTTAGAAGAAGAAAAATAGATAGCCTCCTCTTTCCTAATCCTATTGGTATGCTCTTTTTAGAGACAATAAATGAAAAAAATACATGCAGCTTCTCTATTTTATGACATAATATCTTGTATGTTAAAAAGATGTTTTCTCCAACCAAGTTATTTTGGTGTTTGCATGATGTTTAACCACTGTTTAATAATATTGTTATTTGTTGATGGGATCATAGGTGTCATTCCTTCTAAGTTCTTTGACATCACCTCTTTTTTTTTCTTTTTTCTTTTTGTATTTAACAATGTAATATCATGGAAATAGGGAGAAAGGCTGAAGAATCAAAGGCTGAAAAATTTGAGGGGGAAGAATTTGAGAGGGAAGAATCAGAGGGTGAAGAACTAACACCTTAAGAAATTGGTATGCTTTTTATTTTTTTTAATATAAGCGATAGTCTGAACTACAAGCAGAGTTAGGTTTTTCATACACAACACTACCAAGGTGTCATGGAGATTTGAATCTGAGACCATAGGTTTGTAAATGAAGGCCCTTGTCCATTAGGCTAAACCACTTTGACTTATTGATCTTAGAGACAAAACAAAGGGAAAAAAAGAATTAGATTGCGTCCTCCCTCCTACTTTTATTGGTAAACTTTTGATTTTATGGACAAAAAAAAAAAGGAAAAAAAAATGCACCCGCATCTAATCTATTTACATATATTCATTGACATAATATCTATGTATTTGTCGTTTTTCTATGTAATGTGCTGACAATACTTATTTCTAGGTTTTATCATCTTGAGTCATTCATTGTCTTTTTAAAATTAATAAAACTTAAATGATTATTTTTAGAGATTTTCTATTTAAACCCCACACTTCTCTTAGTTCACCCCATGTTTTAAGTTCACCTCATCTTTTAATTTAAATTTTCACAATTTCTAAGAAAACCCCACTATCTTCCCAAACTGGAAAAATAAGAAATAAAAGAGATTTTCTATTTAAACCCCACAATTTTCTTTGTTCCCAGCAGAAAAAAAAAAACACAAACAAATGGAACTCCAAACCCGAAATTTAATACTTTCTAGAGAAAGAGAATAGCTTTATCTCTCTCCAAGAACTGTAATTGGAATTCGAACACTTGGGTATTGTTGAGTTGACAATCAACAAGCCTTTCCATCAACTCCCATGCATATTTAAAGAGGTAGGCTCGTCAATGTTCTACGTCTTTAAAAGAAAAGAGTAATCTGGCAATAGAATGTAGAGGAGTTTGTATTTTTCTAAAACTTTATATGAAGAGTGGTGGGGTGTGTGAGGTGTGTGTATAGATGTACTAGGGTTAATTATTAAGTTGGATGACCTTTTTTGTCTTTTTATACAATAATAAAACTTACAGCTTAATGATTTAAGTATTGAGGTGAACAAAGAGAAGTGCGGGGTTTAAATAGAAAATCTCTATTTTTATTGCTTTTGTTGTATTTAACAATGGATAACAAATTGCACACAGGTGAATGTATGTATTGTTTAAAGGTGGGTGAGCACATTACGCAACTATGCCCTTACAAGCATCATGTCCCAAAGAACGCAACTCTTGGTGAGGGTTGTGAGGTAATTTGCAAGCTTTGCGGATGCTGCTTTATAGGCTCATGTTGTGCTGATTGTGGCCTAAGTGAAGGATGCGCCATTCTCAAGGATTGTTTAATCTGTGGGAACAGTGTTTTGTGTCTTTAAATAACAATTCTTAATCCATTTTGATTCAGACACAAAATGGATTAAACAATGACTGCACTATTTACTATGCACCGTCCTACACAGTTCCAATTGCAGTGGCGGAGCCACCTAAGAACCAGGGTGGGCCCAGGCCCTCACTCATATTTTTTATTTTCTCATATTTTTACTTATATGTGTTGCTATATGTTTGCTTCTTGGAGTAAAAACTCTTTTTTTTTTTTTCTCATTCTCTTCCTCTTTTGATTAACTTAAGCTTTATAAATTTCCATTTCTCCTATTTTACATGTCTAAGTAGGGCATCTTAATATTGGGATTTATGAACATTTTTTGTATTTCTTCTCTCTGTTGAAGTATAAATTATTAAATTTTGAGTCTTTAATAGTGTAGATGATGAGATTAATATTCAACCATGTTAAATATGATATTCAAGACAATTATGATTGTAATAAATGGATAAATTATTAATCAATATGAAATGATATTATATTATTAACTTATTAACCCAGTTAGCGCTTGAGGGCTCCTATTCGAATTATTTTTAAAATTTTTGTGAATGGCCCCCTTTAATGTGAAATCCTAGCTCCGCCACTGTGTGGGAAGCTAGGTGACCACTAGCCTTCTAAGTGCCCGAAATGCAAGGGGAAACATATTCCTTCTGCTTTTACTTGCAACGATTATACTAGTTGTTTTACTTTCAACACTCGTCCTTTGAAATAGTAGAGAATGGAGAGTTAATGGTACTTTGGTTGTTTTACTTTCAACACTTGTCCCTTGAAATAGTAAAGAATGGAGAGTTAATGGTACTCTAGAGTTAAAGCAAAAGGTTGATGAAGATTAAATGTCAATGACAATTTAACAAATAATGAGACATTTTTATTTTTATTTTAAATGTTTTAAAGTAATTGTAGACTTGTAGTCTTCAATATGGGCGGAACTAGCAACAAGGCTACCATGGGCTCTAGCCCAGGTAGCCTTTAAAAAATATTTAAAAATATTATATGTATTTTTATGTGATTTCACTCTATAAAAGATTAGTAGTCCACCCAAATATAGCCTAATAACCCCTTGTCCACTCAACCTATGGGCCTACAATCATCTTATATTTAATTTGTTTGCTCAGTTAAGGGCACCTCCAATGGAGATGTCAAATAATATGTATAAAAATTGGATTTGATGGCTAATAACTTTAGTCAAAGGATTTATGAACTAGCAAATTGAACCCGAGTGCACTTGGGGGAGAGAGGGAGAGTTTGATCCTCTTTTCTATTGTGGTGTCACCCTATGTGCGTGGTTTATATGATTTAATGTATACTTTTATTTCTAGAAAAATATAGAAATTGTAAGTATAAAAATAAAATTGAAAGAGCATTAGATTTTAAGCTAATAACTTTAGCTAGCCCATCCGTTAAAAAATTCCTGGTTCCGCCCTTGATCTTCATAGACATCAGAGTAACTCACTTCAGGAAAGAAAATGTCCTGACATATCTAATTCAACTCCTACATATGGCCCCGTATCTCTATGGTTGGTGATGGGACTGCATACAATAAAAGAAAAAGAAAAAAGAGTACTCTTTTATGTCGTTTGTCATAAATGTCATGGTTTTGTTTAGCCATGCATTACTTCCTATCATATTGATGTCTACATGGTGTATTATTTTTATTGCAAATGATTGCAACTTGCAGTACATGGTCTATTATGCTTGAAGATGTGAGAATCCATCTATTTAGAAAATGTCTGAAGTAAAAGGTGGTTTTTATCCCAATATTTTGTTCTTCTCTTATAGGGTTAGTATACTATATTTTAATGGAAAAACTTGCTAAACAACTAGGCATGAATGACCATTGTTATGTTCACCATCATATGGTTTGAATTTAAATAACAAAAGTAAAATGCAAAAGTTTAAGAAAAGTTTTAATAATGAGAATGAGTTAAGGGTCTATTCAATTTAGATTTTAAATGATTATAAGAGAGTTATAAAGTTGATGGAGTTTAATTGAATTCTACAAACTCCACATAGATTTTGACTGAAATCGTGTATAGATTTTAACTGAGTTTGTTAGAAATTTATTATTGATTTTAATGGAGTTTATAGCGATGGCGGTGGTGGTGATGGTAATGGCGGCGGTGATGGTGATTTGTGGGGGAGGTAGTAGGGGTGGCGGTGGGAGTGAGGTAGTGGAGGAGGTTGGGGTGATAGTGATGGTGGTGGTGGGAGTGACGTGGTGGAGGTGGCAGTGGCAACGATAGTGATGATGCTGGCAGTGGTTGTGGTGGTGGTGATGGTGGGGCTGATAATGGGAGTGGTAGTGGTGGTGGAGGTGGGGGTAAGGGTGGTGGTGACCATGGGGGTGATGGTGGGGCTAGTGGTGGGGGCGATGGGGGGTGGTGGTGGTGCTAGGGGTGGCAAAGATGGCGGTGGTGGTGGCGACAACGACGGCGATGACTTTGGTGGTGGTGGGGGCGGCGGCAACAACTATGGTGATAGTCATGATAAGTTGGTGGTAGTAGAAGAAGTGGTGAAAAATCATATTTTGAGAATAAAAATAATATATCTATCAAAATCTCTAGGGAGAAGCAAAGATTTGTCATAGCCTAAAATTAGTCTATTATCAAACGAAATCCACCACTTTTTGTATTTCCTTTAAAATCAATGAGCTTTTGAATATACCCAAACTTTTATGAATTCTTTTAAAGTGGTGATTGAATACATCCAAATTTGAATGGAATTTAAAAAGTCTGAATTGAATACACCCATAATTGAATAGACTTCTATAAAATCGTGATTGAATACACTTAAACTTTTAAACTTCTTTAAAATCTTTTAAAATCTAAATTGAATACACCCCAATGTTGAAGAGGCTGGGCACCCATATCATATGAAGAACAAGGAGTTAAAATAACACACATTCAAAGATATTAATAATTGTATTGGACAAGTAAAATAAAATCGTACACATAGAAAAGGGAAGATTTGCCTTAAAACCTAAACCATAACTTTCTTTTTTGGAAATAGATATTGACCCCAAATCCTTCTTTTTTTCTTTTTTAGGAAATGCAACGATTTGGGGAGGGGGCACTTTTCCTGGAATTCGAAGTGGTGACCAAGGTGGGTAGGGGGAGGGACCTCACCACTGAGGTAAACCCCTCGGTCACCCAAAATCCTTTTAGGATCCTCCTTTTTAAGAAAATTAGGAAGGTAACCCTATTTAAGGAGGAGATCATTAACTTTGGCACTCGATCAGTCTGACAGTGCTATGAACCGCATTTTCCTTCATTGACATCAGTAATTGTGGAAAATTCTTTGCAGCCGAGATCAATATTTTTTTTCCATACCCAAAACAAAACATGTTTTTCCTTTATTTTCAACCAAAAAACAGGTCGTGCATTATGATGGAATGCTCAAAATATGATGTTTACCAATCAAGATATCTTGCGTTGTTAGACAGTTAATCTTGGTGGCATGCAACATTAGACATCATATTTATACACAATGAAAAAGAAAATCGACCAGAAAAAGAAGAAAAAGAATAAATTAACACGAAGTCACAAATGGGGGAGAAAATTTATATGGCATGTAACATCAGACGTATACAGGTCCATTTGACTAGTCATTCGCTGAACAAGCAGAATCCCAAAAAAAAACAAAAACAAAAACCACCATAATCCCATCATCTATCAGATGGCCTCCTCTCATCTGGAACCCCTTGAGTTTCCCCATATGTCCAAAAGGGCTATAATATAATATATTGATTTGCTGCTTACATTATAATTAACAGGAACCTACCTACCAAGCACCCTCCTGCCTTCTTCACACCCTTCTCCCAAATAATGTTCAAGCCCGTTATTACTGTTTACAAAACTGGCCAACCTAATAAATCAATAGAGCAAGTCCATCAAGAACTAAACTCACGAGAGAAATGTTTCCCGAGGCTACGATGATCACGACTGTGTTCCCCACTGGCAGCTATTACGCTTTACATACGTGTGTACTAATAAATCAAATGTGATGTTCTCACTACAAGTGAAATGGATAAATCAAGGTCAGGGCTAGAGGATTTACAACCTGCAAAACGAAAACCTGAAAATAATCAAGAAAACTCAATCTAATGCGTCACAAAATAGTTGAGTTTTATTTAATGGTCACCTATTGATTTGTATTACAATGTTCCTAATTTGTTAACAGAATGGGGAAGGTGAAATCATGATCATTAACTAGAAGAAGACCAATTGCGCAACATAACTCATTGAACTTTCTAGTCATCTTAATGTTATTAATGCGTCCATGTCAAAAGGCTAGTTTGTTATGGGTAACAAGTTTGATGTGGAGCCACAGAATACCCTATACCCTGGGTCAACTGCTCAAGCCAACATGAATTCTCAACAAAATAGTCTTATTCTATACTGAAAGTAACCTAATCGGTCCGCCTTTAAATCCTCCCCCCATCCCCAAAAGAAAAGGAAAAAATAAACCCTAAGGAGATGCAGATACGGAGAGTTCTATACCATACTTGTAAATAAGCAAGACTAAAAACATAGCTGGTATTATCTGATCATGATGAGTTTGATTACTGACCAGGATCATCTTCTAAAATGATCGCCTTCACGAATGATTCTGTATGTCCAATCTGCATCATATGACTCAGTTATCAACAATCAGCAGTGGCGCATCATTCAGTTGTCAATGATCAGCAATGGTCTGTCCACCTTGGAGCTCGTTCCATGTAAAAAACGAAAAGGAACACACCTATAAGTTTAGTCATCTATACAACTCGAACCCATGTTCCACCACACATAGGACAGCAGTAAGCCCAACGGCTGATCCACCAAGTCTCCCGCCCAGTTTGATTAGGTCGACTAGTAGCACCAGGAGAAGCAAAGGCTGAAGTCTGCCGCAAACATCTTATGCACTGCATGCAAATAAGAGTAGAAAATAAGATCCAAAGGGCCAAAAACTATAAGATGGGGAGACAAAAAACCATGGAGGACTTTTGATATCAAACCTTGTACCAAACCCCTTCAAGACCAGTCTTCCATACGGCAGTAACAACATCTCTCCGTGATCCCATTATACCAAGATATGCCCCCAGACCCACAGAAGTGTTTAAGCCAAAGGCTGCATCTCTTTCAGACATCCTGCGCTTCCTAGGCCACAGACCATGGGCTCCATAATAAACCTCACAACTTTCCAATGAGTTGGAACCAAGTGGGTCAGCAGAATTACAAAGCTTGGGAGTATCATCTTGAGGACCCATATCATCTGGATCCGACCAAGGCCCACCATACATATTCCGCCTGTGCCACTCTTCAGCTGGAGGGTGAAGTTCTAACTCTCTGAGTAATAGACCAGCAGCATCTGCACCTCTAGGCCGGGGCATATTCTGTTTTACCATCAGAAAGAGAGAAGAAGATTGTGATTGACACTTAAAAAAAATAAAAATAAAAACTATACATTACTGTATGAACGTCAGGGAATTTTAAGCAACCAGTTAGCAAGAAAGTTGATCCTCATTTATTTTACTCCCAGGTCATTGTAATATCACAGGCCTACATTATCGATGACAAGTGAAAGCAGAACCCATGCAACTCCACCATAATCAGTGGTGTTTTAGGAAACCATACCTGCATATGAGGGCCAAGTGATGCTTCGACAACCTCTGGAAGTACAGTATAATTGCCATCAATGTAATGCAGCCGCACCTGAATGTTGCTGCTTCCCACCTGAGAAACTGGCAATGGATGTGCCAGGGTTGCTGTTCGCCGGCAAAGATCCATAAGGATGAGGAAAAGGACTTTAACCTACGGGACAGCAACAGGGTGCATTATGTCATTCTAGGATCTGTTTACTGATTTTCTTTTATGGACAGAATTATCCAATCAATTGAAAATGCCCTTACACTTAAATTTCAGAATATGAGACACGAAGCTTGAAAAACCCATTTGCAGTTCACAAATCAAATAATAGATATAAGCCAGATATAAACAATTAAAGCCATACATCATATTCAGGGCAGAGATCAGTTAATATGATGCGGACATCATTTGTTAGTTTCCTGATTTATTAGTTTCCTAGATTCTCAAGTTTTCCAGATTTCACTAGGATTTTAGTTTCCAGATTTTTAGTTGGATTTGATTTAAGTTTCCTAGTTTATTTTTACTTAGTTCCTTGGTGGATTAGGATTTCTATTTTAGTAAGGGATTTTTATCCTATTGTCTCTAGGTTTTAGTTTGCTATAAATACCCCCCATGTAGTTCTTTAAAATTCAGTTGTTGAGATATAAAGAAAAGCTTATGTTCCAGAGATTGGAGACTACTTGGTGTGAAGCCAAACCCCTGGTGTGAAGCCAAACCCCTGGAGTGATTCCAGACCTATCCCTTTTGTTCTATTTTCTGTTTTCTATTGTTTTCGCTTCCGCTAAACTATCTAAATACTCAATTCACCCATATCCTACATCATAATACCTCCTCAAAAGTGTATCCCTGACCAGCATTTCCAGCACCCAATCTCGACCTTCCAGCAGGTCCTTCTTCAGCTCCTTTTGCGCCAGGTATGATCTGACCAGCCCGAGCTACCTGACCCTCATCCTGTCTAACCATGGTTGACGATGGCTTTACAGTAACAGAGCTGACCTCCTCCACCTTCCCAGGAGCACCAGGCTGTGGCTTTTGCATATTTGCATCAGTATTTCTCTGTGCACCCCCAACAAAACGAGGTAGCTGGGTTCGACGAAAGAAAAAACAGAAAAGCAAAAGCTGGCATAACCTATGAAGAAAGTGGCAATCCCCAATGAGCCTAACAGCAGGTGTTCCAGGAAATGTTCCTGTGTTAATACTTATTGGCATGAAGGAAGATGGTCCACTGATGGGGTTTGGAGTTGAATTGGGCACTCCATCAGAGGTACTACTAATCTTTGCAATAGCACCTTGTACCCAAGCTTGCATCTGGGTGTTTCCTGTGGCAGTTGTAGTTCCACTTTGGCCTCCTGAAAAAATATAGCATTACATTATCAAAGAAATGCTGCACTGCAAGCAATGCGAAATACGGATACAAAATAAGAGAAGAAAACAATCAGCAACCGTCTCATGACATGAGTATGAAAAATCATGCCACACAAACCCTCAGATGCATCAGAAGATATTCTAACATCTAAATGGTTTGGGATTTAGGACCAACCCCATCTGGTCAATCCTGATGTAGGGCATAATAACTTGATTTTTATTCTTTTTAACCTTTTTTCATGTGAACCCAACAATAGAAATAATCAATTACACTTTTTCATAATGAGAAGACTAAGAGATACTGACCCTGACTTGTTGCTGGAGAAGCAGAACTTTGGGTAGGACTAGCCACCATATTGCGATTGCTGCCAGTTCCTGCAGAACCAGCATGGCTCGCCAATGTGCGACAAAAGCTTGCATAGCGCCGCAAGCGAGTAATGAAATGAGAAGCTAAATCAAGAACTGCATCAACGTAAGCCTGTATTACAGTGCAAAAATTAGGAAATAACAAAGGTGCAAATTTGAAGAAAAACCCCATTTCCATATCAGTACTGGGGCTATACACGCCCAACACGCTCAGCTTGGGCAGTTCTACTATTCATTTCATGGAAATGAGGGCCAAAAAATTAATTCACAACTATGCACCTATATGACTGGATTCCACACTACACTATGACAACACATTTAGCAATTAAAAAAAACAATGAAAGAAAAATACCATGTAACACAACCACCGATTAGTTATCAAAATTTAGACAGTAATGCATGCATTCAGTGTATAACCTTTAACAGAAGAAAATGAAAGTACAAAATTAAAAAGTTCAACAATCAACAGCAAACCTGAATATTTGGAACTAGTGCTGGTTCAACAGCCATTGCTTCAGGATCTATGCCCGATAACGTTTCACCAGATGCCTGCCATGGCTCTGCTACCAAAGCAGATGGATTAATCAATGCTGACTCTATTCCTTTCCCCAGCATGTCAAGCAACAGCCTGGCTTGCATGTCCAGAACCATTGCCCTAACTTCTTGTGCATTTGTACCTTCCAGTAGCCTGCATTTTATCCTGTCTAGGCTCTGCATCATTATAGAGAGAATTTTGTTAGTCAAAACAACAAAAGAAATGAACAAAGATATGAAACTGAAACTGGCATGGTAATGGTGAATGACATACCAATCCCAGTCCCGAACCCAAAAAAGTGGATAAAAAAAGATAACACACATTCACTTATTGTCATGAGCAGATAAGCATGTGAAAAAGTAATATCCATAAGAATTTTGAATAACCCATGTTACGGCCAGAAAAACTTACAGGACCATACTGTTGCCTGTGCTGAGTAGAAGGAAGAGAATGAAAATCTGCATCAAGTACTGCAATGACACTATTCAGATAAACTGCAACAGAAACAAATACCAAGGTCAGAAACGCAGATGCACATCACTTAAGAAATTTTTTGCATGAAAATGCATATATAAAGGAGACATTTATTTTTCTTCCTAAGTTTCATGTATTACATGCCACCATTACCAATGCCATCCTCGGCAGCACTCTGTGTGCATCCAACAGCATCCCACCAATCAACCCCAACCAAAAGACTCCACCAAAACCTGCAATGAAAATCATCAGTCTTATTGAAAGAAAGAGGGAAAAAAAAAATTGATCCCTCTATCTGATGTAACTTAAACATCCATTAAGATCTAATTTTGGGGCCTCAAGGTTCGTCTGGGTGGAATATACAAATGTTAACCGCTTTTAAGAAGTACCTTTCCGCAATTGCACGTTCCCAGGTTGATGAGTTTGTCTTCACTTGACTGCTAGAAACAGCAGCAGGAAGGACACGTATTATTTTTAAAACGGTACGGTCCTTACCACTATCATGCCAAACAGAAGCTGAGCAGCAGCTTGTTGATGAGAAGGCAGGAGTAGCTATTGCAGATCCAACGTTAATCTGGTAGTTATCAACAGGCGCAAAGCTCGGACCAGAAAAGATGTGAACCCCACCCCGGAGAAAAGCAACAGCAATCTCACCACCATGAGCAGAATAGACTATTCGAGCAAGTGTTCTAACATCACTTGGCAGGTCAAAAGGATCAAAACTAACTCGTTTTGACTTCTCAAGGCTAGAATCAGTTGTCTTCCTTGCATCGGAGGTTGCTCCTGATGCAGCTGCTTGGTGACTTTTAAAATCATTAGTTGGTTGTATGCTTGTGTCCACTTTGGACAGCCAAACTGTTTGCATGGGTGCCTGCCCACCAAAACTGGAAGTAGGATTTCCAAATATTTGATGAAGAACAACAGTCTGAAGGGATGATTCCCATCGTTGCACTCTCCATCCTGTAATTGAAGGACCCTCATCTGGATCATAAGGAGACATGTATTGTCCTGCAAAGGTGAAAATCATATGATGAATTTTATGCTTCTAATATAGTTCCTGTGTATTTATAAGAAAAAATTATTCCCTATGCAAAAAAATTAAATTAAATTAAAATAACTAACAAACAAACGTTATTGATCATCATCACTTAATTTCCTAAACCCCATTATCTGTAGATCAGAAAAGGTCATTTTCAAGTTCAATGATAGACAATTAACACTTAACGAAGATAAAAGACCAAGAAAACTAGTGTTGGGCTGTTGTTACCTGAGGTGTCACATTGAATAAAATTTAAAATCTCACGTAAGAATCAAAGGTAAGGTAAAGAATAAGGAAAGAAATAATAAACATAAGGCTGCAAAGATGTCTAACAAATAACTTAAGGACAAAAAATTTGGGAAGAATGTACCACTGGATTAGGAAAAACTGAGAAAGGTGAACAAACAAATGCAACTGACAGCTTGCAATTGAATTTAGTAAAAAGGTTTTCCAGAAAAAACAAAATTATTACCCTCAACAATGACAACAGCAATGACAGAACCACCACGAGTTGGATCAAAGGCAACAGCAGTAACTCCAGATCCCCACGTAGTGGTCGTTGCAGATTGAGCTGCAGCCTCAGGACTCACATATGCTGAAAAATTTGAAACCGGAGAGCAATGAAGTGGTACAGTATCACTGAAATCTGGATCTGTCTGCTTTCGCCCTTGTTTTGCTTCTGATATTAAATAATCTTGCCAGCTAAATAAATATGCAGCCAAAGGGGAAAAACCTGCCCAATTGGGTGGATTTAGTGAAGGTGGGACCCCATTGCTCGTGCTAATCTTCGGAGTTACCTGAAATCCATTTCCAAGTCCAGGAGTGACCTCCCAAACAACAACAGTAGATGGGTTTACAATTGGAACACCTGCCACATGCATGGCACCGCTGTCTGTTATGATAGCATCAGCAGCCATGATCCCACTAGGCCCAGCACCCAAGAGTCCCTTGCTCGTTTGAAACCACTTTGGTGCAGCACTATTCTGATTAGGAGGCCACTGGGACCAGTGAAGCTGAACAGAGCCTGAAGAGAAAACAGAACAAACGCAAAGAAAATTGGGCCACCTAGCTGAAACAAAAAAACAAAATATTGCATCAGATACCACCCAAACTTACACTGTACAATGAAAATTTTAAATTTCATGTTTTTACAAACATGGAATTAAGAGAGGTTGCGATGGAAGAAGAAGAAAAAAAACCTGAATTTTGAGACTGCTGTGAAAGAAATTTTTCTTCAAAAGTTGACTTTGCATTTGAGGCAGCACTTGATTTTGAGGAAAGCCACCTATACTGGTTCATCAGAATCAGGGGAAAAAACAACATTAGAACATCGACATCATCTGAGAGGATGACACCAGTAGACATGAAATGGGAAGTTGATATAATCATTAAGAACACCAAAATATTGCATTTAAATCCAGATGAGTTGACAAAATACACTCAGATAAACAGAATGAGATGCATTTAAATCCAGATGAGTAGAAGCCAACAAAATTGCTTACTGGAGACACCCCTGACAACCACTTTGTGACAACTGCAATATCCTGTTGCCATTCATGCTCTCGTTGCCACCGGCTAGCATCACGTACTAGATTAGCTGGCCCCTATACAGACAGACCAAGATAAACATTTCAATAATAGCTAATCAAAAAGAAACGTTGAGGGAAAAGGCAAAAGCCACATCAAAAAGTTTTAAGGGGAAAAATTCATCTATCCAAGATTTTGGAGAAATCAGTGCGGCAAGTCTAGCTTACTTGAGAAGGCTGAGTCCAGATTGTTATTCTCCCATGGAAATTAGCAATTAGTAAGGCACGAGGGCAAGAGGTAGGCGACCACTCAATAAACTGAACAGAATCACGAGGAGAATCTGCAAAATATATTCAATGTAACAATAACAATTCATAAAGTTAGAACCAATGTTTTTTTTTGGGGGGGAAAGAAAAAAATGGCATCACCAAAAACTAGTGAATTTCTCTAACTATATATATATATATATATATATATATATATATAACTTCTTGAACTAACCTATTGAATAAAAAAACACATGCTAATCATCATATGCCAAATGTCTATTGACGAAGCTTCTCCCAAATTAGGGCATGACCCTAGCTTTAATTCCTTTACAGAACAGCCATAAGAAATGGGAAAGGGTTGAACACTTAAAGCTGGTGAACTATGGGATGCTCATAAAATCAGTAATTAATAACCCTAAAAGCATCAAATAATTTTTCTTGCATAGCTATCTCTGCATTACGGAAACCGTATAATGACCATTGACACTCAATCATGTTCAACCATGCAACTTCACTCTAGCTTCAAAAGCATCTATCTATAAAATCATATGAGAGCTTTGCCTCCCAAAGTACTTAAAAGAGGATTATTAAACCTCCATAGTTATCAAGCAATTCAGTGAACGAGTTGCAGTGCAGCAAAGTTAAGCAAAGAACCTAAAGTCTCTTATAAAGCAGAGTAAATCAGTAAAATACCTGCATTGACATTAAACACTGCACACTCAGTTGGTCGCTCTGGGATCACAATATGTATGGGAATCCAAAAAGGTGTATTTGCATTAGAACTACAGCAAAACCAATAAAAAGAAGAAAAGTCATAACCATACATGAATACAATATAAATACTAAGAAAGAGTTTTTTTTTTATTTTTAACTTAGGCCAAAACTTAACCAAGCTTTAATGCCCATCAACCAGGCTGGCTAGATTTTACACTCTAGTGATTCCTTAATGCTCCATTTGGATCTCAGAATAAGGAAAGTAAGATGCTCTGGTATTCTTAAAAGTAGCTCCAATTCTTAAACATTCTAGGGAGAACCATTCTTAACTTTTCGTAGTGCTTTCTGAATCCAACTAGAACCCCAAAACAAAACTAAATTGTAGGTTCCAGCAATCACAGAGATTATCACAACAAAATAAATCCCACATTTCATGATACAATTAGTGAGACAATCTCTCATGGTCTAAGAAATTGAGCCAATAAACAAACAATGATAACCTTGGAATTCTAGCACATGTTTCTGATGCACAAGCTATAGCATTCAGCTTCCCACACCAAGCAACAGCACTGCGAAACAAATAAAAAGAGTACCCATTATGCCAAATCCTGTGTATGCAACTGAAAACATATAATTTAAACAAAAATATGTATATTTATTATACAACCCCCAAATATCAGTCACCTCAAGAGAAGCATACCAGATGGTAAAGAACTATTTCTTAAAATTTGCACCAAGAAAATCTAGTGTTGTTAATACAATTGTTTATATGTAATTTTTTCATCAAATCAATATTGAGCACAGATACTAATACTGACCATTATAACGAGAAAATCTCCATGAATATCTATGCATGTAAGGTGAACAGGGTTATTTGCCGTATCATGATGTTTGGGATTCAGGAAGTCAATCAATTCAAGTTAGCTTTGCACTTATGCTTCTTCTTATTTCCGAGATTTCTGGTTATCTTTACCAAAAGGCAGATGATAACCTGTAACATCTTTGATACTAAGGCAAGTTATTATTACTAAAACCAAACACGGAATGAAGAAGTGAAAAAAAAAAAAAAATTTGATCCATTGTTGTCGAAGTGGCTGATATCCTTGCTAAATTTACTGAATCAAACAAAATTTGCTGTGATACGGTGTCTGGTAAGGTGGGAAGCAAAGAAAAAGGGTTGAACTTGAAATGTTGTGAGAGATTTTGGGTTTTTATTAATCTAGTTATAGGTATTTCCATATGAACCTTCGCCCATTAATTACTTTCCATGATGTTGAAAACCAGTTATTGCCTTCTTTATTAACTGAAAAGCTCAAGAAGTATTTTCTAAATGTGAATAAAGGGGGAATATGAAAGTTTGAATTTTTCAGTAAATTTAGAATTGTTCTCCATGAACAAACAACTAGCGAGCTCAAACCGATACAAGTGAACTTCCCACCTTACTATACACTGTATAACCAAAAAAAATGTTTCATTTCAGTAAATTTAGAATTTTTCTCCATGCATAAACAACTAGCGAGCTCAAACCAATACGAGTCTTTTCATTTCATTCATGAATCATCATAATAACGCTTGAAACCCAATATCAAATACAATTCAATCAAATGTCCCAAAAGAGAACAACACAATTCAACGAAGAAAACTCAAAATTCAACAGATTGGAGCTCGAATTCCGTTCAACATTACCTAAAATTGCGACAAAGCTCGGGGACGCTCATCTTGTGCTGCAAATTGGACCTGGGCTGCTTGAGCCGAATACAGAAGACGGCGGCGGGACTGACGGAGTCTTCCTCCATGGGATCGCCGGGCTTGTCCACAGGCTCTTCTTCTTCTTCTTCTTCTTCGTCTTCTTCAATACTCTCAATACTCCCAATTTCGGGCTTATCGCTTTCAAGAGACTGAGCCACAGGCTCGTCGTCTGATTCCTTAACTTGACTCATTAGCCCAAAACCCTAAAAAAATTATATATACAAATCACAAAGCAGACAGAGAGAGAGAAGAATGTGAGTGGTGGAAAGTCGCAATTGAAGGCGACATATATCACTGTGTAAAGAGAGAGAAAGAAGAGAGAGAGAGAGAGAGGGTAGTGGGGTTAGTGTGCGTATATGTTTGAATATGTTGAGTGAGAGAGTGACTGGATTTGCGTTTGGCTTTTGTTTCCTTTTTTTTTTCTTTTCGGCTTTTGAAAGGCAGGTTGAGGCAGTTTGAGCTCAATGTTAGGGTTTTGGGTGGTAGACAAGACATGTGATTCCAAAACCCAATTTGCAGGTGTTGCTGTTGGGTTTGGATTTCTGGTGTTTTTGTGTTGGCTGGGCCCCAGCAAGGTTGGAATTTGGCCTAGAGGTCTGGAATTCTTTTGGCACTGGGTTTTTGGTGATTGGCCAAACCAAATCTATTGGCAAACTTGTAAGAAATTGAATGCCAGAAAAACTGTATAAAAGCGAATGGTTTACTTTTCTTTTCCCTTGCCTTTGAATATAATATATATAATTTGGCTTCAGGCATACCTAAGTAACAGTGATTAGAGAGTAAGTAAAACAGGGTTACTTTTAATAAATAAGTTCCCTTCTTGTGATTTAGGAAGCTGTACTTTTAATGCAGACATGGTCACATGAACAAATTGGTTTCATTTAAATGGTGCAAATCATTGGCCAGAATTGAAACCATTAAGACTTTTAGCATGTGTTGGCCAATTATAAGACGATGGACTTTACCAAATCAAAAGCAACTTTTGAAAACAATGCAGACACAGGTAATGGGAAGCATGATATTCCCAGCTTTGATATCCATAAAATCCGTGATTGGAGATGCAATGTCTCTCATATCTACAGGGAGCAAAACAAAGCGACTGGCCACCTCACTAACTCGGGGTATGAGTTACCCCTTAGGGCTTCATCACTATGTCTCTCTCTCTCAAGCTTGTTGCTGGATAATGATCTAGGAAGAGCCCATAGTAGGGCTGTGCCTTGTTAGGTTTCTTTTTTGGGGCTTCGGCCTGCCTTGTAACAAAAAATTAAAAAACCATAAAATCCTAAACGTCAACTGAAAAAACTTCAAATATGTATTCCCAGCCAAAGAAAAAGCCCAAATTATAAGAAGAAAACAAATATACCAGTATTCTTGTATGGAAGACGTGTTAGGATGAACAGTATTATTTAGATGAATATGTTATGTTGTAATTCGATAATTGAGATCATACGTTCAAATTACATTACATGTTTTTGTGGTAGAAAAATGGCCAAATATATTCAATTATACTCCAAGCTGACCGTAGAAAAAATCGAGTCGCTGCCGACAAATCATAGCGTAGGCATTTGTTGACAATTGCTGTGAAAACCACGCATATATTAATTTTGTGACAATGAAACACCCACCGCCCAAATCCACCTTGTTTAAGATTGCTAAAATTTTGACAATACATATTTTTCCTACAGGAAGAAGAGATGAATGGTTGAGAGACTTTGACTTCGAAATCGAAAAACACCCTTCAAATGCATTTGATTTCTAAAGACCTCATTTAATTTGTATGGAAACTAATTGTAGGCGGAATTTTAGGTTGAATTTCTTGGTTTCGAGAATGCGAAAAGAGGAAAGTATGAATGTGATGATGGTACTTCATGGCATCGATGTCAACTGCTTGGTCAATGAAAACGAAAACGGATGCGTTTTTCTTTTGTTGCATTTTAATAACAAAATTAATTGTTCTAACTATTTTATAAATAGTATAGCCGAGCGGCTATGCTACGGGTTTTATTATTAAAAATCATTTGTTGGTTCACCTTCACCTTCACCCTCACACATTGTATTTCAATAATCCGAAATGTTTAATTTTTAGATATTATCTCAATTCAAATATCATATTTACACAAAATCACTTGAATTCGAAATTATTTGACCACTTAATAAAATGGTTCTTATTATAGTCTTATATATATAAATATGAAACAAGAAATTGAAGAGAAGGCACGTGAGTCTTGGGATCACTAGTCTTTTTTGTCTTCTTTTTTTTTTTTCTGGTCCGAGGGATCGCTAGTGTTATGGCTCCTGTTTGTATCTACTTTTTGTTTGTTTACCATGAGCTATTCATTATTCAAACTATACGTCAAGGGAAATACTTGTTTTTTCATGGACCAAGAAAACTTATTCAAAACTAGTATAGCGAAAAAAGAATAACAAAATTTATTCACCATTACGACATAACCCATGAGGATTATACTCTTCAAAGACAAAAAGATAAATAAGAGTCTTTTATAGTTCATTTTCATTTGTTTCACTTTCACCACATGACATTGCCCAAAAGAGGAAGAAACAAAAACTTTATTGGGTTGAATACAACACTTCTTTCTATCAATTTCATCACATTACATATCTCTCTAATCACATAACTTAATAATGATGCCGTGTCGAAAAAACAAGAATTAAAACTATTTGTTGTTTTTATTATATTTCTTAAATGAATAATGCTACTTTTATCACATTTGTATATCATCTTATAACTAAAGTAGACAACTATGTCAATTGAAATTAGTTACTTTTTTTTTTCTTTTATGATTTATTCCAGTATTTATTTTTATAATTTTCTTAATTAAAATATACTTTATTGATTTAATTGATGTGGCATATGATATGGACATGCCACATCATGTGATATAGAAAAATGGAATATAAATGTGGTAAGTGTAGCATTACTCTTCTTAAATTATACAATCATGCACAAACTGCATTTACAAAGTATTGAAAACAAAAGGAATGAGCTGAGTCTAGTAGCGTGGGCTTATAACTAAGCAGAGCATTAAAATGATTGGTTGTTTGATTGAAACCCTCTTGAATGAGGTATGGTGTTCTTGGGCTGTTCATCTAAAGACTAAACCTTGATCTTTGATCTTGGTGGTGAAGTCGCACAAAGCACAACCCCAACCCTCCGGGCCTAGTAGGGTCCCCCAACGACCAAGGTCGGGTAGCAAACCTCGAAAACAAAAGGAATGAAACAACCTTATGATGTCATTATTAACAAAGAAAAAGGAATAATGATGCCATACAACAGAGATAGGCATTAATAGAGAGAGGGTTTGGAAAAAAAACAGAACAGAGAGAGGGAAAAATGGTCACTTTCAAGTCTGAACAAGAGTTGAAGGAGATGGGAACACGCCTAACTAAGGAAGCAGAGCTCGTGCAACGACTCTCGTGATAACAAAAACAGCCGGACCAACCTCCTTTATTTTAATAACAAGAAGACGGCCAGTAAAGCTTTGCCCTTTCTTTTCCTTTTTTTTGTTTTTACATTAAAAAATTGCATATTTTTCAATAAATTAACAATTTCAAGCTCGCCATGGTTGCTGCCCGAAACAAGTGCTAAAACCCAGCTTGGAGAGATCAGGGATCGAAATTGATTGGCCATCTGCAAATCCACAAGGTGGGTTTTCTCAGTTTTTCTTATTTTACAAGGTTGATAATTTCATCTTTGGGTGTTTGATGCTCATTTGTCTGGTATTATGAGGAAAAATTTATGATTTATGATTATAAAACATAGGATTTTGGCAATATGGGTCGGTCCGAATCTTGTTAGCAGGGTTTATCTGATCTAGTGGAGCTGTTTTTCTTTAGATTATTGAACCCCCGAAGATAGAAGAAGTTGTTTATTGTGGACAAGAATGGGTTGTAGCTGCTTTGGTGCTTCAGTTGCTGATAGGAAAAGGAGTTCTGGTCACTTTGGCCATGATCTTGATGGTATGGACATGAATAAATGCCCCCACTTTTTCTGTTTTCCGTCCATTACACTTTTGTTTTTGTTCATGTTACTCTGTTGCATCATCATGATTATTCTTATTCATTTTTGTCTTGTGTTGTGTAGGAAATTTGCTGGAAAATATTAAAACTTTCTCCTACAATGAATTAAGATTGGCAACCGATAATTTCCATTCCAGTAATAAGATAGGGCGAGGAGGTTTTGGAACTGTTTACAAGGTACTGGGATTTTGCAGACGTCTTATCGTAATAATTCTGTTGGGAAGTTTGCAGCCATTATAAAGAAGTAATGATATCTGTTATTTGAATTATATTGTAATTTTGGCTCCAAATTTGTGAATGGGTTGGCTCAAAACTATTTACATCAAGCATTTTTAATCTGATTGCTGACACCTTGAGTTGGGTTTGCGCTTTTAGAACACTTCAAGTTCTAATCTTACATTTTTGACACATAGAAACATTGCTTGGTATGCTAGAAACTCTCACCTATGGTTCTAGATTGGAGAAAAGTAGAGATTTTTTATCTTTCCAGTATTAAGATTTTGCTAATGTCTAGGGCATGGATTTTGGTAATTCATCATGTTGTCATCAAGAATAATAGCCACTCATTCGGTTTAGGTTCTGTGACTTTTTAAGACAGAGTTCTTTCTTTTTCTTAGTTTCGCAGCTTTAGTGGTTGGTCTTATATTGTAAAGGCCAAACGTTGATTATGATATTACGTTAATCAGGATATCTAGATGGTATTCGTCCACGCCATTTCATATTATCTTAGTAGTTTAGCTACATTTTGCTAGGGAACCCTGAGAAGTGGAAAGCAAGTTGCTGTGAAGACACTTTCCGCTCGGTCGAAGCAGGGAGTCCGTGAATTCTTAAATGAGATTATTGCTATATCAAATGTCAGGCATCCAAACCTTGTTGAGTTGATTGGGTGCTGTGTTGAAGGAGCTGATCGGGTTTTGGTCTATGAGTATGCTGAGAATAACAGCCTTGATCGTGCATTGTTAGGTAATTGATCAAATCCTTTAGCATGAAAGGAAGACTGATTTGGGAAAGGACTATAAGTCTAATTTGTTTTCCTTATGTTTGTAGGTTCAAAGAGTAAAAACCTCATACTCAATTGGGAAAAAAGATCAGCCATTTGCTTGGGTACTGCTAGGGGTCTCATGTTTCTTCATGAGGAGCTGATGCCACATATTGTCCATAGAGATATCAAGGCTAGTAATATACTTCTAGACAGAGATATTAACCCCAAAATTGGAGACTTTGGGTTGGCTAAACTCTTCCCTGATAACATTACTCATATTAGCACAAGGATTGCAGGAACAACGTACGTTACTTTCATATTTGTAGTTGATTGTTATTCATTTGTTAAACGTTCCACTTTCCTTGCTTGATTCAATTAGGAGATTTCTGTTGCGTAGTTTTTTTTATTTTTTTGGAAAGATCTTTGTTTTCTTCAGTAATTGATCTTGGCAAATTAGAGATTAGTGTGTTTTAGTGTAACTTCGTATTGGTCTGTCCACTTGATACTGGAGATGCAAGTGAAAGAAACTAGCTGCCATCTTATGCTTTAGTTTTGTTTTTTCGCAGTGGTTATTTAGCACCAGAATACGCTCTGGGAGGTCAGTTAACCAAGAAGGCTGATGTTTACAGTTTTGGTGTTCTTGCTCTTGAAATAGTTAGTGGCAGAAGCAGCGCCAAGGAAAACTGGGGAGGGACAGAAAAGTTTCTCCTCGAATGGGTGAGTTGGTTTTTCCATCATCATACTCGCAGTCTTATTTTGCGTCTTTTTGTGGCCTATAAGGGTTTAGGTCTTATCATTTCTGGTGATCAAGGGATTAACTCTTACTGGAAATTGTTAAACGAGGGATGCTCGAGTTAGTTTAATTATCTGATCTACTAAGAGAATTATTGACATGCTGCACAATCAATTAGAGAACAGGTGGAAATTGTACAGCAAGTTATTGTTTTTGGTTCAATTGAAGTAGTTGATATTCCTTCTCTATCTCTAACCCACACACACAACGGGTGGTTACCTGCATGGACTTATTTCATACTGAACTTGTTCTGCTTCCTTTTATAACTCTCTCTGTTCTTCTATAGGCATGGCAGCTACATGAAGAAGGAAGACTATTGGAGCTTGTTGACCCAGAGATGGGGGAATTTCCCGAGGAAGAACTCCTTAGGTACATGAAGGTTGCATTTTTCTGCACCCAAGCAGCAGCAAGCCGAAGGCCAACGATGAGCATGGTTGTTGAGATGCTCTCAAGAAACATCAGAATCAATGAGAAGCAACTTACAGCCCCAGGTTTCTTCAACAATTCAGGGAGCCTCAGCGGACCTTCTTCAAGTAAAAAATCATCTGCCGACACAACTAGCTATCAGATGAGTTCCGTCCCTGACACTATAACTCATTTAGCACCTCGCTGAAGAAGAATAAGAATAATGCACTTCTTGCAATTTAAAGGAAGACGGAGATGAAATTATCTACTAGTCCACAAGAAGTTATTCCAATAGTTCATACAGTTATCTTCTTTAACCTTTTACACGTTTTTCGCTTCTTCGTCTTTTGTTAGCCAATTTGAGAAGGGAGAGGGTGGTTTGAGCAGAATTTATTTGAGGTTGCGAATTTGTAATGTTATGTTAGTCTGATGCTGTTTTCTTTTTTCTTTTTGATTCAATCGTTATCTTATGTACAATGGAAGAGAAGAATGTTGTATAGTGAAACAGAATTTAATCAATACACACTCTTGACTCTTTTCTCTCCTAGATGCGAACAAGAACAGACCCAAACAAGTTGACCTTGATGGATTCTACAACGTTTAAACTCCAAATTTTGATCTACATTCTTGGTCAACATACAATCATTCATATTCGAATGTTTATAAAAGTTGATAAGATGTGATCGGTTGATGCAATCTACAATATTTAAGGTCACAATTTGTAGTACTTACAGGACAAAAATACTATGGATTCAATTGACCGTCAGCCTTATTAATAATGTTAAGAGTGCCATGTCGATGTTTTTTATTGTACATCAATCCTGGATTTATACAAAATCGTTGTTATTCTCACGCCTAAAAAGCCATCATAAAAACGTGAGACTTTTTTTTAATGATTACCCAACAAAAGACTTGCTGATAAAAAAAAAGGTAATATTAATAAAATGTGTGTAAACAATGACAATCTTAAATCCCAAACACAACACATCCAACACCAAAATATATAAAGACCTCCACACTGAAAGCTGGGGCTAATGGAGGCCAACTATTACAATATTCCGATAATCAGTAGCAACAGAAGCCAGTGAAAAGGCAGCCGATGATCAATTTGAATCTCAAAATAATAAAATTGATGAATAAAATATGGCAGGGTTTGAGTTAAGCAGAGAGGTCCTCGATAGAAGCAGGAGTGCTTTGTTCGGGTGCATCTGAAGAACCGTTAGAGGTGGCATCCTTGGCTTGTGAAGCAGGCACCTCGGCTTCTGTGGACCCATTAGTTTTAGATGCTGCATCCTTTACATTCTGGGCATTTTTGGCATCCTTCCCATCTTTGGGATCTTTAGCTGGAGCCTTTCCATCTTTGGCATCTTTGGCATCTTTAGCAGGAGCAGGTGGGGGTGGAATCATATGAGGTGGAGTTTTATGCTTCAGCTTCAAAAGTATTTGCCGCAGCCTTGATAGATCAGTGGGTTTTCCAGGCTTCGGGCCCTGAACAACTGTGATCGATGGTTTCTTGTCCTGATCCTTCTTGCCTCTCTTCTTCTCAATGTTGGGAACCTCATGAGGAATGAGCTCTGCTATTGCTTTCCAACTTTGCTTGTCAGCGTTTTTATGGAAATTCTCTTGATTAGCCAAGAATAACTGCTCCACATACGAGCCAATTTCTTAGCATTAAGAACACAAGAGCTGGTGTTGAAAAAAGAGTAATTGATAAATGCATTCCAAAATTTACCTTCTCCTTTTCTCTGTTCTCAACCTTGTTGGTCTCAACATTAAGCTTCCTTTTTTCATAGAATGCACGTTTGTACTCCTCAGCTTCTTCAATAATCTGGTTCCTCAGTTCTTTCTCCCTCTTCTCCTTCTCCTCAAGCTGGAGGGCATTTAGACTGTACCAGCAAAGTCAAATTAAGTCATTAATTTTCCAGTGGGAAATCTAACACCACTTCACTTGCAGTTTGCCGGTGCAGCTCAGCCAAAGTGTGTTAATTAAAAGTAGTAAACAAAAAGCATGATCAAATAACTATGATCATCTTACCGTTGTCATTTTGAAGTTGAACCAACCTAAGAAATTCTTAAGTACAACAATTCTACCACATCATCATGCTACAGCGTTTTCATAAAACAATAGTGAAATGATCGGAACCATAGTATTTGAATTTAACATCTTGTAGAACCTACATGACATAAATGATACGGATTTCCCTAATAAATTATACGAGTCCCAACAACAATGATTACGTGTTACTTCATTATTGGTTTGTTGCAGTTAAACTGTTATACCCAAGTCTTTCTCCTAATGGCAGGATGGTTGGAACAAACAACTGCGTAAGGGCTTTTGTTTCCTTGAGTAGATGAGAAACTCAGATGAAATTTGATTAACCTCACAATGACTATCTGAAAATTAATTTTGCATATCATGTCTGGTACAACCATCATGTTCTTTAAGATGCCCAGTGCAAGGCATTTTCCTTATGACAATCAGATCCAAGAAACTCAATAGCAATCCTCATTCCAACAGGGATACAAAAAAACTCCAAGAGCACTCTGCAGTTTACTAACAGCTCCGGCTGCATAGGATTGAAGAGCCTGCTCTAAACTATGCAAACACACAATGAACCACTGATCTATATGTTTACATACAGTAAGAACAACAATCTCTCATGGATTGTATTGTGAGGAAGTAGATCTTTTTCAAGGTATAATGATTAACCTCCGAAGCTTAAGTTGATCAATCTCTTTCCAAAAAGTTCAATTAAAAAACTAACATTTACCTCTTCCCAAGATCACAACTAAAGGAAATCACAGATCTAATCAAATTCCAATAGAGAACACCTATAACTAGCCCAACATCCAAAAACAAACACATAAAATTTTCCTAAAGATGCTGAATTTCACAGATCTAAAGCAACTCACAAAACAAGTAACTAAGTAACCAAAAGGAATCAGATCCGAATCTTACCGCCGCCATTCACGAAGAGCAAAACCTTCCTCAGGCACCATCTCGCTCGGTGGAGGTAGCACGGGACCGTCCGATGTGAAAACGTCATCGTCGATTGCGTGCTCGCCTACACCATAGCCATTTCCATTACCGTTCTCAACGGGTACCGAATCGAACGGGGTCGAGTGGGAGTAGTTGGAGCTCGGATCTTCGAATCCGAAAACATCCGTTGAGGCACCGCCGGCGTGGTCAGCGGATACTTCGGCGTCAGTCGGACCTCCGCCGGAGAAGCTGGAGTACTCGGCGTACTCGGTGTAGTTTTCGACGACGACGTCGTCTTGGTCAAAGTGACTCTTGGAAGCGTTGAGATCGTCGCCGTCAATGCTGAACGCGTCGAACGAAGCCATTCTTCGCTGTGTTTCTCTGTCTAAAGACGATTCAGTGTAAAAGGTATTCAAATGTGAGAGAGCTGAGAGAGAGAGAGAGAGAGAGAGAGAGAGAGAGAGAAGAGCTTTGCTTGGGAACTAATGCAAGCTGATATTTTGACTCTTTTTCCCTTTTTATATAGTTAACGGAGAAGGAGGACGACAAAAAGAAAGAGAAATATTTTTACCACGGATTATATTATTTGAAAATTAGTCTTGCCTTGTCAATAGCGAATTTTGCTGTAAATTTTACACATGGGTTTGATCCATGGATGATGGATATTGGGCAACCACTTCAAATTGTCAAAGCACCAACCGGCAACAAACTGATTTATCTTTTTATTTACTTTTAGTATTTTTAAAATTGAAATAACAATAATAAGCTAGTTATTTTAGGAGCCGTTGATTTAAGCAATAATTAATTGAATTTGATCAATCAATCATAGAGGTTTTTACCCCCATACCGAAGCTAAATGTACCTTCTTCTCCGAGTTGAAAGAAATACCAAGTTCAAAATTCTCTGTCCCATTAATTAAAGGAAAAAATAAAAACCTAGATGTGTTGTGTCTGTGCCAGCATAAGCTCATTGCACGGCATAGATACATCAGGTGTATTGTGCTAAACTGCTTAGAATTCATTGTGATCAATCAAACTTAATACATTAGCTAAATGTGTTGAAAAATTTCCACTCCATCAAATATAACAAGTGAAAAGGGTATTACATTGTCTCAATTTACATCACTAAACAGTTCCACCTCAGGTAACAATCCAGAATTGACACATTATAATATTGCCAATTCCCACAGAGATGGGCACTGAAAGAAAACTGGCAATTGGACTACAGTAACTACCGTCAATGGTTAGTGTGTGCCGTGACTATTGTGTGTAGCCGTGACTCTGAGCATAGCCGAAAGCTGCCGTCGAAGCCATATTTCTTTCTACTTCTGCTATATAAACATCAATAGAGTGTCACAAATCTCCAGACCCAAATAAGCTCTTTCAATGGTCTTGGAAGGAATCTGTCATCGACCGCACAAAAAAAGTGGAGTTACAAGGCGGCATCGCCTTCCAAAAACTTGCGAGGATGGCTTATAAGCATTTGGTGTTGGGGAGGGGGAACTGTTACAAGTTACAACAATGACAGAAAACCCCAAGAATGTTAGGACTCTAATGCCTGGAAGCACCTCCCCGTTCTTTCACAAGAATCTTAAATGAAGCTGCAAGCTTAATCTCGTCTACATGGCTTCTTCAGCCCACATGTTGTAAGAGGCTAGGGCCATTTGGCACTTCTGAATCTCCTTGGTCCTCACCCTTCTCTATAATATGTACTGCAGGCACGTCACATCAGTAGTTATACCAAATTGGGATAAAATGGTGGTACGACTTTCAGGGAACTGGTGGAGCATTTTTCGGATATCTAGCAGAAGAGGGCATTCGTTGCAAAACTTGTGGAAACTCTTGCTTCATACGTTTACTGGACATCCCTTGCAAAGACCTTTTTTCTCATTACCAGAAACACCAAATTAGAAGGGGAGGGAGAATACACAATATACATATAAAGAAGATATTGACTAGCAGCTAACAAAATTTACAAGAAAACTAGGAAAAAGTCTGACCTTTGTGCTATTTTGTTATTCTGCAGAAAGTCGACAAAGAAAGCAAGAGAGTTTTGGAATAAACTAAACAGACGATTCATTTTCAAATTATCCTCATAACCCTAGATTTAAGTTGTTGGCGGGAGCTATAAAAGTGTTTATCTAAGTTGCAAGAGCTCTCATGCCATGTGAACGTGAAGCAACAGAAATCAACCAAAAAAAAAAAAAAAGAGGAGTTGAGAGATGAACTAAATCCCACCAAATAATTGGATCTGTTTCCAAGAATCCAACCAAGAAGGGAAAGAAATGAGAATAACTCCTTAACCTTGTTGCTGGGCTTGTAAAATACCCCAGTAAAGTAAACTGGAACTGAACCATCAGGCCCCACAAACACAGTGCTAGCAAGGTTCTGTGGCTGGTTGACCCAACCATAGTTCAAAGTTCATTAAGAAATTGACGAAAATAACTAAACACTTGCAGCTGATGAATTCACACACCCTGGAGAACCCTGACGTTTCTGAGCATATAGCGTTGATGTTAGACTTCCGAGCGCCTTTTCAGCAGCCTAAGGAAAAGAATATTTAGGTGCTCAGATAAATATTTTGAAAATAATTAAGGCCCCAAGAAGGGTAATCAATTGGAGCACAAGATATATTACCTGCATCTTAGCCTCATCCCACGTCAATCCAATTCCCTTCCCCAAAACCTCTCCATCTATTTCAACCTGAAACATGAGACCGAAAGAGAATTTTATAGAAAGAAAAAAGAAGCATGCCTCAAGGATACTAAAAGATTATCCTTAAAATCATGCAGCTTTGAATTCCCAAACAACTGCCAGCATCGACTCTTCTAAAAAGCACAACCAACATGATTTATACTTTCTCACTGCAGACATCCCTTGGAAGTTGAGGGCCCAAAAACAATTCTCAGAGCTCACAAGTTTTTTTGCTTGAACTATAAAACAACTTTCAAACCCTCCGTTCTCATTTTCTCCCTTCGCACCAAAACCCAAAGACCTGATCAGCATTCATGATGATGATTCATTCATACCAAACTCAACTAAACCACCTTTTAATTTCTGTTTCTGATCAACCAAGTGAAGAGGGATGTATTATTCTTGATCCAGTACATGAGAAAGAAAAGGAAAAAAGAAAAAAAGCAATCCCAGTACCAATGGAATCTGCTTTGCAATTCACATTATAAATAAAATTTGTATTCTGAAGTTCTTAAAATGGTTTCATTTCCGTTGTTGCTTTCAACATTTAACAAAGTTTACCCAGGAATTCCGAGAAGGGTCATAATATTCTGCACTTCCAGACGATGAAATATAGAAACTTGAAGACATGAGTGAGCTCAAATACAAACCTGTACATGAACTTCATCTTTCTCGACTGAATTAGTTGAAGGTGGAGGTCGTGGTTGGAAAACTACACCAAGGCCCTCCATCATACACTGAAGTAGTACAAAATCATGAACCGTCAATAAGCATAACATCATTCAGCCACTGCATATAGCAATCTAATTGTTTGGGGGAGGAGAGAGAGATAGAGAGACTAGAGCCGACTATCAAGTTTTGAGTCTTACAAGTTCTTTGAGTGTAGACACTGAACTCATTGACTTTTTAGAGCCTTCCAGCCTAGGATCTAGTGGCCTCGAAGGCTCTGATGAAGTTGAAGATGACAGGGACTCCTCTTTGGGAAATGGCTGGATCCCAAAAGAATTCAAATTACCCGCAAAACCATTACTGTTAACATTAGGAAACTTGTTCATATCCCCATGAACGGACACAGAATCAGGCTTGACACGGGAAAGGTATATATCTGCAAAAACATTGTCAACGATGGTCATACACATTGTCCACTAAGAAGAGATTAAAGATAGGAGCTTTTCTAATCATGAGCTGCAGCAACTACAACCCCAAACAGGCATGATAAGAACTACCGAAAATGGCAGATCACCCTAGCTAGTGGCAATAAATACAACAATAAGAAATCTTACTGGCTAAATTTTTTAGAGAACCCTCAGCAGCCTGGTAATGAGCTTCCCTTCTCGATTTACCACTTCCTTCACCAATTTTCTCTCCAGCAAACCAAGCCTACAAAAGGAAAAATGGGCTAAGCTCATTCACATTTGACATCTCTCCACAAAGAAATAGGCAACATTTCAATTGTAATGTATTTCTATGAAATAAGGATCTTATATATTTACTATTTCTGGTTTATAAAACTAATAAATCACCAAAGCTTAGTGAGTAACCTGTACTATAAAAGCAAAAGCATTAACTATGAGAATATTTTATTGAGAGTTCCATTTTATATCATCTCTCCAGTATGATTATTTTAATAAGAAAAGAATGTGACTCCCTCTTCATTTCGAGACCAAGTTATCAATTTGTGGACGAAGTCCCAAAGATACTAGAAATTTCCCTCATCTCTACAATTTTCTTATAGGTCTTCAGAAAAATAAATGTTGAAATGTACATAGATTGTCTCAAACTCACAGGAATTGTTTCATATATCAAAAGACATGTTAAATTATTTAACTAGCCGCTCACACACGAGCTCACCTCAACAGAACATTAAATTGTGGTTAGATAAGTTCAAAACATGATATCCCTAAGACTAAAGTGGAATTACAAGGTAGCAAGTCAAAGAATTGAAAGTACCTCAACATAAAACTGCAGTTCCGTACTAGCAACCAAAGCTGGCCTAAACTCCACCTGTAAGTTCCCATTTAGAAATGGGAGGAAGGGGAAAAAGAAATAAGATGGAGCACGAAGGTTTGATATATGCAAATATGCTAGACTAACTTTTCTTTTGCAGACAAACAGCGCAAAATACCTTGGCTCCACACTTCATTGCAATTTCCTGTAAAACTGCAGCAGGAGTTTCTGCATTTGATATAGCTCGTCCAGATTCAAAGTCAACATCTCTGTTGCTGGAAGAGGATCGACTTAAGGGAATCTCCTCACCTTCAAAAATTCACATCCCCTTTAAATAACACCACTCTCATGATAAAATACAATAATTGCATATAAACAAAAGGACTGCAAACGAAATTTACACAAGTTAAGAAAGACAAGAACCAATAAAGCTCAATTTAGATAAAAATTCAAATTGAAGAGATGATAACACAATTGGATATTAATACTCAATTAACTTCCAAAAAAAAGTAAACAATCACCTCCATGGTATAGTTTCATAGTACACTGCTGATGGTAAAAGTAGTTTTTAAAAATGTAAGCATTGAAAACAGCATCATCAATGAATTTGTACTAGAATAATAAAAAACCATGGGAGTCATCTTAATATTCAATTGTGCACGTCATAGCTCACCTGACAATGAATGATAACCAGACAATGCATGGTTGAATCTCAACCGATCATCTCTATGAAATGCCTGGAAAACAATAATCTTTTAGCAATGATAATGTTCACCAATTACTAGCAACATCAACCACTCAACATAAAAGTTCAGGATTAAAGTCAGATCAACAAAGTACCAATTACCTCTTTTGGCAATCTCTGGTTTTCTTGGAGAATTCTATCAGATGGAATCGAATTCTCAACCTTAGGGAAAAAAGACGAGTGATGAGGTCGATGCTTCTCAATCTGCACTGGTTCTGGATCTAAAGGAAGATCTTTGGGTACCATCCGGCTCAGTTGCCGTGGGCTCATCTCTTCCTCCACTGGAAACCAGCCTGGACGCGATTGCGCTCGTGGAACAGAGGCTTGCATTGGAGGTCTTACAGGAAATGGAGGCTCACTTGGTGGTTGATCTCTTGTATCTTGGCCATGCTGCAAAATCAGCAGCCTCCGCCTTGTATCAGGGTCTAATTCCGATTCAGGTACCTCACCCTCCTCTCTAGCAGGAGAACTTTGCAAGCTTGGTTCTGCAGAGCCAACATGACCCAAAGGTTTAACTAGTGAAGCTGCCTGAGGGAACTGTATACTAGGAAAAGACATCACTGATGGCTGAGTTGTTGGCAGTGAAAGTGTGCTAGAAGAAGGAGCCACTGTGTACTGAAGAGGAGGAAGCCTTGGATCTATGCTAGTGACTACTGAAGATACCATTGAAGCAGCTGAGGTTGCTTCCTACGAACAAGAAACAGGTTAATATTTAGTTTACTTTAACAAAAATTGCATATACAGATGCAAATACATTTTGCCAAAGTGGAAAATTCACATGTCAAGCCAAAGGGTACATCTCTTCATGTTTCCAGATTCCAGATAAAACAATATATGTGTACATGTATCAATATTGAATCTGTAAATACCTTCATTCTTCTTTCAACCTCAACATCTGTTATGCCATCAAAAGGAAGAGGGTCCCTGTTTCCATTTAAAGCAGAAGAATCATCCTGAACAGCCAAAAACTATTAGTGCAATTATCATTAAAAAAAAGGTAAGCATGGTGTGATGGTTGAGTTTTCTGGAAGAATTCCAGTTTTTAAAAAAATCGAAACTGACCTCTGAAACTAGATAATTGCTCACATCAGGAGAAGGAACATCTTTAATATCGTCTTCATAGAAAACTTCAGGAATCTTTTGTAGAAGACTGTCATCAAATTCTCTGTCATCACATCCAAAGGTGGTGTCATGCTAACAGAACACTATTATTTCACTCATAAAACAATGAATGTCTTCATATAAAAACAGTCTAGGGGTTTTATGTTCTTACCTAAAAAATCCACCTCTGACGTTGCAGGCAACGTTTCTTGCAACACACAGGACAGGAACGGCATTATTTGCCTATAGCAATAAGGACTTACAATCAGTTAAAGAAAAAGAAAAAAAAAAGTTTAAGCAAATGTGTATCATTGACAATAGAGCAGTTTTAACAAAGTTAATAGCCATATGCAATAATGCAAAGACCTTTACCTCAGCTTGAGGAGCATAGTATGGCGCAAATGCAGGAACAACATGCACCCGAGGTTGATCTCTGTCATCCCACACTTTCAAGCGATCATCAATTACCAATGCCATCTTAGGATGGCATAAGCTTTCTTGGAAGACATTGAACAACGACTTCCTTGAACCTATTATAATAAATTAAATAAGTTAATTAAAAAGAGAAAAGTACTTCTCTCTCCAATTGCAAGACAAATTTATAAATGAATTATTACACTTACCAGACTTGACACACACAATGCGATCCAATAATTTGTTCGAGTTTATCAGATTTGAATCAGGATCCAGAAGCCTCCACATTTCTAAAGCATAATCCCTTTCAGCCATTGTGCAAACATAAACCTCAAAGCGCTTGCGCCCTCTTGCAGTCAAGTAACTCCGAAGATCCTCCCATGCAGGTCTCAACCTCACGAGAACACTTGTATCACGAATCTAAGACAGAAACTCTACATTACTTATGACACCTTATAATGATGAAGCAGAAACAAAGTACAGCAAAAGAATAGATACTTTGACAAAACAAAAAAAAGGTATTCCCACACCATACTGCCGAACCGATCAAGCTGATGTTATAATGAGAAAATGACCAGATGAGGATAAATAAATGACAAAGGTAATCAACTGCTACACTCCTTTCACAATTTAAGAGATGAAGCAAGAGGAAAAAAGGCAGCTCAATGGGCTTAAGTTACATACCTGTGGATTAATGCGAGTCAGTATAATGTTTTTCTCATGTAACCGTATAAGTGGCCGAATAATAGGTTGATGATTATCAGACAAGGCTGGAACAGCCTCAGATTGAGTTTTGATCACCCTCCCGTTTTCAACAACTTGATCATTTTCAGCATATTGCTTCAATATAAACTTGTCATCTTGATACCGCTTGATCTCTGCAAGCATGCCAGAAATGCGTTGTGGGTCCACCTCACTGCTTATCTTCCTCTGTAGGGCCTCAATTCGATCCTCAAATGAGCGCATTGTATTTGCAACAATGAGTGTTTCATCAAGATCAAACACAATGCCAAGACATCTAAGGTTCAGCATGACAAGGCAAGAATTGTAGAGTCCTGGTGCAACACTGAATCCCCAGAAATATGGATACCGTTTATCACCATTCCTGGAGTGCATGGCAACCAAATGGAGCTCCTCCCCTCCTAGCGGCATTACTGCAGTCTGTAGATAAGCATGACGAAAATCATTCTCAAGGTTTGCACAAACTACCATTCACAAGAATGAAACAATAAATTTTACTGATGTGCAGCGCAATATGACAAATATCATTGGCACAAAACAAAATTGACATTCTAAAACACCAAAACGATTACAAACCAATTAACGTTAACGCAAAAAAGTTTAAATGATAAACAGAACAAGAGAGCAATTGCATGCTTCCATTTCATAAACGCTCTAAACTGCATTCCAACAGATAACAGAACTGAAAACTTGTCCTGCAGAATTCTGGAGTTCTTTCTCAAAACATCCACCTGCAGCAAATCAACATTATCCATTCTTGTAAAGATAATTCATGCAATCATCATCTCTCCATGGAAGAGAACCCAGCAACCACATGTACAGTAAGATCAATAAGAAATTGTCACCCAAAAAAAAAACCTGCGGTATATTCTTAGCATCAAAGAGTTCTGTCATAGTACATAACTCGGTAAGTTGAGGAATAAAGTTCAACTTCAGTTCTATGAAATAAGTCCACAACTTCAGTTCAAAACAGTTTCAACAACATGCAGAACCAGTTAAAGTTCAGACAGCTCATGTAATTTGGGGCAAAATTGACTGGGTTCAAAGAAAGTTTCAAAATTTACAGTAAATTACACAAATGGGTTCCCTGTGAAACTGTTCAGAGTCCTCTGTAATAACATTATGAAGGAAGAGGGATAGGGTTCATTCTAATCTGAATATTTTCTTAGAAAGAAGGTTCAATTTGAATCTGGGTTTCCTTTACTTTTGCTTTTATCTTCTTTTCTTTTTTTTTCATTCTTGAGTTTTCATTTTCTTCTGGGAGCAGTTTAATTCAATGTTGTTGTGCTATACCTTGTTCTCCATGACACACGAGGAGTGCAAAAGAAAGAGCGGCGTGTCCTGAGACTGCGAGGTCTTTGACTCCATTTTGAAGCAAACACCATGAGAGCTTATGGTATGAAGCACTGCCACTGGTGGACATCTCTCACTTGATTGCGAAAAATAGCTTATTCTGATTTCCTTCAACTCATCAACCAAATTCTTGTTCTTGTTCTTGTTCTCGTTCTCTTCTGGGTATATTTCTACCTCCCCAAGTAACTCTTCATCTTTATACACCACCGACTTATACATTTTCCCTCACCGGCCGAAAACCATCCAAAAAACCCTGAAAGTTTTTATCCCCTCCTTTGATTTCTCATCAAAGTTCCATTCAATAAACACATCATCGATTTCTTTGATTTTCTTTCAAAATCAACGTCGTCGTCAAAAACAAACTTAATATAATCCCATTTTTGCTTTTAAATCACTGATCCTCGGAGAAAAAAAACATCAAATAAAAAAATTTAGGGGTTATTTTCAAGTAGAAGATCTTAGATCCGTGATTGGTGATCCAGCCTTTACAAATAGAAATCGGTGTTTTTATCTGAATTGTGGCGCTAAAGCTAGGGTTTGGCGATAGTGATGATGATGATGAAAAACAAGGAGTCGTCAAGAAGAGAAACCCTAGATCCAGATAGCGAAAGGTCAAAATAGCACTGCAATTCATAAGTCAGATAATTGTATTTATAAAAGTTTTAATATAAAATAAACGACACCCGACTCTTGGGCCAATTTTCTAATTTATATTTTTCTCATGCTATTAATAGAAATTTCAAAAATATCTTATTTTTCTAGATCTTCTATTATTACACAAATATTAGGTTAATGTGACGTGTTTAAAAAAGCAGGGGCTTAGGTGAATTGTAAGTTCATAAAGCTGGGGAAATTTGTGAATTTGGAAAGTTTTGGGAGACGGAGTTGACGTGTTAGATTTTGGGGGTGTAGTACGTGGCAGACGGTGGTTGGTTGGCAGTATATATGGCTGTGGTTTTTTATGGCGATAGATGGCTGTGGTTTTAGATTCTCTATCTTTGACTGCCCCGTCCGCATGGAGATTTACACTTTTGCCATTTTTACTATATACAATTGTAGTGTACGCGTAGTGTGGAAGCGTTACAAATTTGGTAAAAACTATTTTGGACTAAACCCCTTCCATCAAAATAAATTGCGTATCCCCACCAGTTCATCAAAATAATAATAATAATAAATTGCGTATTGAATGTATTAATTTATTACGGTTCAAAGAATATAGTATATAGACTTTTGTCAACCGATAAAAACTAAAACAAACTATTAAGTGTTTTTTCTATTATTATTAAATTATACTTTTTAAGAATTTGCACATCTCAACATAAAAATAATTACGGCATAAATTATATCTCTTTTTTTTTTTAACGTCTAACTTATGTTGCATGTTTTCGGAAAAAAAAAACTTATGTTGCATGTAGCATTTGAGTTACTTACTAGTCGTAAAAAATGAGGCTTGTCGTGTATGCAGACATAAATAAATGAAATTATATCACATCAATTGAGCTTTTTAAAAACTTTAGATGTAAGTTGGTGCTTATACAATTATTCCTGATAGTTTCCTAGATAAATTGGACTCACTCCCTCACTATGCATTTTTTTTCTGTTCTTTTTTGTTTAAATAGACAATGTATTAAGATGCATTTTAAATATCAACAATCATTCACAAACAATGCTATATAGTGTAAAATCGGGAGCGTTACATTTGGTTAGAGTACATACTAATAATCAAAGTTGTGTACAACCATTTTTGTCAAATATCATAAGAATTGTCATTTGTTCTTATTACAAGCCAATCACGATATGTTACATGTTCAAATTCTTTCTTTATTATTATACCGAATGATCAATTTATCCTCATTAGTCTCTGTATATATCTAATTGACTCTAAAGACGAATGACTCGTCCAATCCTTCCATAATTTTGTATTCCCATTTAATCTTACACTGCAAAAAAGCGTAATGCAAGATTTAAGTTCGTACATAATAAACAAGTATGCATAGTGTTTGAAATCAATGCGATCATGAATGTATCATGGTCCACCTAACCTTCAACCCAACCTCACTTCTACAACATAAACAAAAATTCGATGGCCAAAAAAAAATTTGTACTGGTTGGTTCATTTTGTTGATGCTATGTTGAATTATTTTATAAATAATTAAACTGCAAATGCAAAACGTATGAGGAGCTTTTAGCAATATAGTTTTTTTTTTAAAAGGAAAAGAAAAAGTTCAAATTGAATTGAAAAAAAGGAAAAACAGTAGTTATATTTTTAAATTATCCTGGGATTTCTATGCAATTGGTTCTACATGTATCCAGAAAATGAAAGAGGTCTGTTACATCAACGACACTTAAATGTTTTAATTGAATTGATAATCCAGCCGACCACTAAATTGTAATTTATTTAATAAAAATAATAAATATGACTATTGGTTAAATAAGCTGGTCAACCTTACCCACCCTACCAATTATCACCCTGTTGAACTTATTTATATATTTTTTGATGTCATTTCCATTTTTATTTCGTAAACAAAATTAAACGATATGGATTGGGCCATATATCTTTCTGCAGCTAGGCCAATCGAAAAGGGCCTCAATTGGTAACCGAAGCAACAAATGGATTGGATCATGGAAAGCTAGGAGCATGTATGTGTTTATGTTATATACCCATTCTTAATACTAGCAATATAGATAAACCTTATACTATTTAATTTATATAAACAAACCCCAAAAAGGAACACCTGACCCTATTGAACTTAATTTTGAGTATTAAATTACTTTGATGCCCTGTTGAGTGTTTTTAGTTTTTTTAATGAGGTTTTAGGGTTGAGCTTGTTTTAAGAAATCGATGCTAGTTTAGTAATTTATAGGAAGTTCAAAGCCTATTTGTTATGTTGTAAATGAGTTTCTAAAGTCCATTTCATGTAATTTTTTTTTATAATTTGGACCCCTATATTGGGCATAATAGTGAAACTCCCAAAATAAAACTCATACAAATTTTTTTATCAACTCAATTATAAAAAAAAATTGGGTTTAAGGGATTAATCACGTTTTGAGTCTTAAGCTTTGTAATTTTGAGACCAATATGTCATTTCCAATGTTAAAACATAACTACTTTTATTAGTCTGACTCACCTAAGGACCTAAAAATGAGGTCTTGTGAGCACCTATTTACTAAAGACCCTTGGATTTATCTAATGGCACATATTATTAATAGTTTAAACCCTTACTCATACTCCCTATTTAACCCAAATAAATCCTAATTGTTCTAAGTCACAACAAACAATTAAAGAAAAAATTAAAATTAGGGATTCTCGTGCTGCATTTTTTCTTCCTAGACACCACAACCCCTTCCTCCAAAGTTACTTGCCATTTGAAAAAAGAAAAAATGGCAGTTTTGTATGTAAGAGAATTTTAATCCATACTTGTCAAATGCTAGGATGGAGCCATATCTCTAAGGAACTCAAAACTATTGTGAATGACATGACGTGAAGTACTCAAAACTACAGTTGCCACTAGTACCATCACCAACAACAAAAACATGGTAACTAAATCCCCATCAATTACTAAAACCGCACTTAGGCAAGGACCATCAGTAATATAGGTAGCAGAAATTATGAGATGATGTGAAAAATATTGTCCTTTTTTTCTTAAAAGAAATTGTTCATTAAAATTAAATAAGAGATTCAACTTAATATGTTAGGTCATCTTCAGTCATATGGCTTAATGTAGTTGACAGCTATAAATTGAGCCCTCCAAAATATTAATTTTTTAAAGAATAGTATCGGGCTAAATTTTTCCCTCTCCAACCATGTATGGCTATATTTTAAGGCCACCCATATTTTATTACTATGAGAAAAACTATGGTACATGGCTCATACAATCCATTACTATGTATTGTTTAATTTAATTAAACTATTAATTAAATATATTTTATTATTGTATTGTTTATTATTTTGAGTGACACGAATTTAAATAATTTAAAAGGGTAAAAGAAAAAAAACATAACGGCTAGTTGACGTCAGTGCACCTTTTATATCAATCTTTGGATCTGTAGTTGCACGAGATGGTCCGTACTCACGCCCATGCATGATACTTTCTCTTCTTGAAAAACACATGCATTAGGCCCATAAGCAAAATTGAACTGGGCTATAGCTGGGTTACAAGTGGCTTGGTTGGAGGGCTAAAGGGCTAAATGTGGCCCTCCAAATTTGGCCAATTTATTTTTTAGCCCATAACTGAAGATGAGTTTTGAATAATTTTAGGGCTACATTAGGCCTATTCCCCATGGCTCAAAATGGCCTTAAGGCCAATTCCTAAATTATAGCTCAAAATCCATAAATTAAGGGTCACATGTGGCCCTTTGGCTAGTGCGGACTAAATATTTAGATGGGCCCTACCTTATGTCACTTAGCCATTATGTGATGTTAGCAAGTTTTTTTAAATTTAAAAAAACGAAAAAAATTCTTAAAAATTCCGTTTTTTTTTTATTTTTTATTTTTTATAAATACCTAACTATTCTGATATAATTTCTCACAACATCTTCATCATTTTACATATTATCCTTCCTCAATTTCATCATTTTACATAAATTCTCACAATCTTTTCATTCTTTTACAAACTTTCCTTCATCCTTTTCCATTTAAATTAATTTTAAAGTTATTTTTAGAACAAGAAAAAATCTAATTATAAATCTATAGGGCTAATCACTTGCTGACACGTGGATGTAAAAAATCATATCTCAAAATATATTTTTCTCTTCTAAAATATATTTTAAATAGAATATAAATAATAGTTCAATTAAATTAATTAATAAATTTACATAATATACTAAAATTAATAAATTTACATAATATACTAAAATTATTAAAATATTAAATTTAGCCATTTATTACTGGAGATGGTTATATTGTAGCATGATACCATTCTTTATAAAATTATTTTTTAGAGGGCTAAATGTTACCCTCCCCACCCGGAGATGGCTTAAGTGAGTAGAAAGACCTGTTTAATAAATGGATGATGTCGTATTACTTGTTTAATAAATTATAAGGGAATAGAAACAATTGTCGTTTATGTTTAAACCTTAAAAAGACTCAAGTAAACGACCTGTGGTTGGGTGGTGCTTTCGCCAGTTTATGGTTAAGGTCCCCCGAGGCGATCTACCCACGAGCAGCAGGATCCGAATTCGAAATGACCCGAACTTCGTAAAAGACACAAATACCCTCGAATAGATACAATCAAGAAAAGGGTGATTGGGCAAAAAGAAGAAAAGGGCACAGAATTTCACAAACAACGGCAGCCCAAAGCCTTTCAAAACCAAATCAAATCGAAGCCACCAAAACCTTTCAGTCTCAAACCCAAAAAACCCCAAAGTTTTCTCTATCTGTCTCAAGAACTCCTTCTCCTTCCTCTTGAGCTGAGAGTTTCAGAGACCTGGCCATAGCTCTAGCTCCAGCTCAACTTTTTCGTTTTCCAATTCCGTCCTTTTATTTCAAATCTTTTTGATTCCCCGTAAGCCCTTTTCTTTTTTCGTTCAAACATGCCCATCCCTAACTGATACAGCAGAAGCAGCCGAAACGCCGCCGTATAAACGAAGATGATCGTGAGAACGTACGGTCGTCGCAAGGGAGGCATTCCTAGAACTTATTCCGACTCAACGTTAAACGACGCCGTTCACGACGACGACGACGGCAACGACCCCTTCGGATTTTCTCTGTCTCAACCTCAAGAAAGCTCCCAAGACCACCTCTACAGCAGTCTCAATTTCTCATCTGAAGACTCCTCTTCCCAGTGGGCCCACTTTGATTCGGACCCCTACGCCCCCAAGGACTCTTTGAAGCGCTCCTCTTTCGACGGTCCGGTAAACGGCGCCGTTAGGAGGTCCAAGAAAGCCAAGACTCGAAAGGAGGTGGTCCAGAACTCCAGGCCGCCGTCAATTCTCGCGACGTCGACTTTGATGGAGGCACAGGAATTTGGGGAGATGATGGAGCATGTGGACGAGGTCAATTTCGCTTTGGATGGGCTTAGGAAGGGTCAGCCAGTTCGGATCAGAAGGGCTAGCTTGTTGTCCTTGTTGTCTATCTGTGGCACGGCTCAGCAGAGACGGCTTCTCAGGACGCAGGGGTAGGTTAGGTTGATTTAACTACTTCTGGATGGGTTCTTGGATTAAAAAAATTCGATTTTGGAAATGGGGTTATGTCAAATGTCAAGAATTTCTTGATGGGTAATGGTAATGTTAGTTTCAGTCGTTCTTGATGGATATTTGATTTTTGGATACGTGGGGTGTGCGAATTAGAAGTAGTTCCTGATAGTCATGTGACTTGGAGATATGTGTCTCTGTATTTTAAGTCCATCTTCATTGGGTTTTGAGTTTAAAATGAGGTTTTGGAGATGTGCGGTTAGAGATGCTTAGAATTTATTTGAAATTTGCTTATCGAGTGTGTGGATGACTTGCTGTGTTGAATGTATCTAGGGTCACATGATAATGTATTAGAAAATTATATTTTATTGCTAATTTTATTCATCTCAAAGTATCAGGTGTTTTGGCATATCATTTAGGGTCTGTTTACTCCAATAATCTAGAAACTATGTAGTGAGTGCCGACTAGAAATTGTCGTTCACAAGTTTTTGCAAAGTCCTTCTCTATCCAAATTGCTGTTTCATTTTTGGGGAATACATTGATCTGAAGTGCCTTGTTTTCAGGATGGCAAAAACAATAATCGAGGCTATATTGGGTCTCAGCTTTGATGATTCACCCAGCAATCTGGCTGCCACAACTATTTTCTATGTTTTGACAAGCGATGTAAGTCACTTAGTTACTTGACAAGTGATGATTCTAATTTGATCTTCTGAGTTATTTTGGCGTGTTTTCTGGTGCATCCTGGTACTACTTGTGTCTGCTGTGATGCTTCAAAAGTATATATGCATCAATGAAGTTCCTTTTTCTCTTAATAATGATCCTAAAGGTTTGTTACCTCTCACTATTGCAGGGTCAGGATGATCACCTTCTGGAATCACCGAGCTCTATTAATTTTTTGATTAGGTTTTGCAAACCAATTGTCTCAAACACTACTGAAGATAAAGCACCTAAAATTGGACGGAAGCTTCTAGCATTGCGTATGGGTGCTGACATCTCGCAATGTACAACGAAAAGATTAGACTCCAGCTCTGCTGCTATCTTTTCCAAAGTTCAAGAAATTCTTGTAGGTTGCAAGGAATTGAAACCAAGTTGTGCGGATGATGGTGAAATGGGAAAGCCAGAGTTATGCCCAAAATGGATAGCTTTGCTGACTATGGAGAAAGCTTGCTTATCCACTATATCTCTTGAAGGTCTGGTTCTGTGTTGAAGCTGATGGTTTTTTGATTATGATACACATTGTTACATTATATTAAGTCTGGATCTCAAGCATTAGTTAGATTGTTTGTGAACGAGAAATCTAGGCATGAGATTGATGCTTCCTATTGGTTGTAAAGAGCAAAGTAATTTATAAGTAAGAACTTCAAATTCTGTGATGTTTCTTGGTGAAGTTCTTGTCAAACTTTTAGCTGGAGTTTTGGATAGTGCAAATCATTACATAAACTGCTTTTCAATTTTGTTCACTATCCACTGTGCAGTCTAGTATATGCAATGTAGAGGGTACAGTTGCAACATTCTGATATTCCTGATGACTATGCGTTGAATTTTCAAATTGTTCTTTCTTAACCCTTTGGGATATGTCGGTAATTATCATGTGTTTCTTTATCTTTATATCTGCATTATTTTCGCTTTCCCGTTTTATTTGTCCCTGATTGGTTCATTTCTTAATTGGCCTGTGCTTTCAGAAACCTCTGGTACAGTAAGGAAGTCTGGGAGCAACTTTAAGGAAAAATTACGAGAGCTTGGAGGTCTTGATGCTATCTTTGAGGTTTCCGTGAGTTGCCATTCCGATATGGAGGTGTGAGCCTGTATGTTTGTTTGATCTCATTGTCTGTTTCATTATATTGGAAAAAATACCAAGGGGCCATAATACTTCAAACAGTTCTGAGAGATACTTAACTAGTTCTGCTTCAATAATAATTTATATGAGAAGTTGTGGTTCCCTATGTAAATCATAAATTTCTGCGAAGAAATAATGCATGTAATGGGAAAGAACGGCAATAACACCATGCAGCCTTACTCCTTCCAGTTTAATAGAGATGCAAGTTTCTTGTGTTCTTTCACGTATATATTTCTTTAATTTATTGATGAACTAGGACACCAGATTAGTAGCTTTACAGTAATAATGAACAGTTATCTATTTGCCCTCGTTTAGCGTCAGCTTATTTATTGTTCATCATCATTCCTGATTTTCTTGAGTAGTTATGTATGCTAATGACATCACTGTTCGGTCACTGCTTTATCAATTCAATATCTACTTTTGAAGTTTTGTTTTTTCTTTCCTTATTACAAGTGCATCATGCATTTTGAGTCATGATAAGTTGGTAACCAAACAAAGTAGTCATTAAATAATTGTTTTGGTTTTCCATTCGAACCCTGGGGTTTATGGTACTCAATTGTTAGTTGGGAAAATGTATATTTTTTTAAGTGCATGTAATTAATATGCAGGGTTGGTTAAAAGATAGCTTGCCTTCTGCATGGGAAAAGGAAATCGACATGGTGCGGAGCCTGGTTCTGCTTTTGAAATGTTTGAAGATTATGGAAAATGCCACGTTCCTGAGTAAAGAGAATCAGGTATGTTTAGATGTGATTTAGGGTCAGTGGGTCACACACACACACGCACACACAAACTCTCTCTCTCTCTCTCTCTCTCTCTCATATAAAATGAATTATTTTTCTGTCTCTTTAGTTTGTAAAATTCACACTGCATACAAACTCAAACTGATACTGCATTATGATGTTGGGTTATTATTATTAATAACTATTGAAAGTGGAAATAAAATCTTCGCATCCATGCTTTCTTAACAGAGCCATTTGCTAGGAATGAAACGAAACTTGGATCCTGCAGGAAATCCCATGTCTTTTACAGAACTTGTTATAAGCGCCATCAATATTCTATCAGGTAACTTATAATCTCCGGAGTTACTTATGATTCTTACTCTTTTCGGCTTTCTAATAATTAATGGCATTGTTTCCTAGGTCTTTATCTGCATAAAAATTTCTCTTCTGCCTCCAATGATGAAAAGTCTTTAAATGTTTCTAATGGGAGTAAAAATGCTTCCGAGAAGAGCTCCGATTTATGTCAGAGCAGCCGATTTTCGCTCACTGCTCGCTCTGTATATTCTATATCCAGTTCGGAAACTACCAGCACCTCCATGACTGATACTTATTCAGTGAAGACGGGACTCAATTCTTCCAGATATGGTTCATCCAGTGGTACATCAAGGCATTTAAATGGTGGAAACTGTACATTTAGCTGTGCTTCTAGGAAGGATGTTGGTCTCAGTCAGAGATCCTATATTTCTGAAGATTCCAAAATTGATCTTTCTGAGAGTCAAGATCCTTTTGCATTTAGCTATGATGATTCCAGGAAAGGTTCTGGTCTCAGTCAAAGATCGTATGTTTCTAAAGACTCCAAAATTGATCTTTCACAGGAGAGTCAAGATCCTTTTGCATTTGATGAAGATGATTTTAAACCTTCCAAGTGGGACCTATTATCTGGCAAGAAAAAGATATCTCTATCGCAACAGAATGAGGCAGCATACAGAGAACTTGATAACACTTTGCAGCTGATTATGAGCCAAGAAGCATCAAGTAATGGAGAAAACCATCAGGTGCATGAGACATCCTATTCAGGGGCTGTTGGTAGAGAAGGTTCCGGTCTTCTAGCGGACTGCCTTCTTACTGCTGTCAAGGTAATCCCACAATCCGATATTTTAAACCTCTTTAGGGGTGAGGTTCTGGGCAGCTTATGGGCATTGGTTTTTATGCTGATTTTAGAGATTATTGTCATTCATCTATAAAGTTGGATTTGTTAGCAGCTGTGAAGTGAGACTAGATTTTTCGAATTTTGAGTCTTTTCTAACTTAATATTATTTGAGTGGTCTTTTATTGTATTTTCTCTTTTCTCTTCAGATTGTGGATTCCTTATCCACTCTTTGTAATTAGTTTTCCTACTTTAATAAAATTCTGTTTCTCTAAAAAACAATTGCTAGATGCTTTGTGTTGGATGATATGTAGGTGTAGGGTCCCTTTCTCTGAACCTTAAGATATATCTTTGGTTACTGTTTACTGTTTGCATGATTTAATTTTAGCCCTCAACTATGACTTATTCAGTTATTCTCAGTGTAACTTTTATGTTTATTATACTCATCAGGCGTTTGAATAATAGAAGAATGTGGTTTCCATTAATTGCAACCCCATCTAGATTCTTCTTACAGGTGAAGCCGTTGAACTGTATAAACTCATAAATGTCTTTCTTGGCAGGTTCTGATGAACTTAGCAAATGATAATCCTGTTGGCTGTCAGCAAATTGCTGCCAATGGAGGACTGGAGACCTTGTCTTCTTTGATTGCCAACCACTTCCCTTTGTTCAGCTCATTCTCATCTCCCTTCAGTGAGAGAAGTGAGAATACTTCAAGCGTTGAACTTGGCCATCAGAATAATAGGCATCTTACTGATCAAGAGCTAGACTTTCTTGTTGCTATTTTGGGCCTGCTTGTGAACTTGGTTGAGAAAGATGGCCAAAACAGGTAACTTGGAGTTCTCCATTTTTGTCCAGCTGTTTATGCATTTCATTCTTCAAGCAATTTTGTTATTGGAACAATACATATTGTTATCCTTGTACTCTATTCCCCCTTAACAACCAACCACCTTTTTCATTTTGGAGAGTGTCCAGCTGTTTAAGTGATTTCCCTGTCTGTTCATATTTAACCTCAATTTGTAAATCAATTATGAGAACCCATTACCATGGTTGGTCCAATGAAATGGAGTCCTTGGGAGGGTAGAAAATATATTGTCATCTTCAACATTTCCCCTGTATTCCAAGCCAGTCCTAATTTCATCATTGGGCCACTTGTATCTCAATAATTTCAGACAACGAAAGATGCTATATAATTATAGACACCCTAGTACCTGTGCTGCAGATTAAACAGTCTTAGTTTGTTGTATTTTTTTATATATTCATACTGGCACATTTTATTACTGTCACACTTTTAATTTATAATGGTGTTCCATCCAGATCACGGCTTGCAGCAGCTAGTGTTCATGTACCTAGTTCAGAAGGGTTTGAAGAGGAGAGCCGCAAGGATCTAATTCTGCTTATCTGCTCTATTTTCCTTGCCAACCAAGGTGCAGGCGAGGGAGGTGCAGAAGAAATGATTTTGCCAGTGGGTGACACGTTCTTATTTTCTATAAAAATTTCCCCTTTGTTGTCTTAGTTGTGATTTCTTGAAAACACAAGGGCCTGTCTTCCAAAACAAAAATGAGAAATTGAATTTTTCCTTTCCAAGGTCAGAGAGTGGAGCATTTGTATTCTTAGAATGAACCCATACCAGATAGTTTCTACTTTCCAAAAATATAAACCATTTTGCAAAATGTAATGAACAGGCTCTCAGGTTTTTTTACATATTTTTGGTATTTCTATGTTTTGGGTGTCTTGTCTACTTTCAATATTCTGGGGTGTTCTACTACTTTAGTGTTCATATGACAAATAAAAAAAGATTTCCAGAATGGTGTTTACTAGACATCTGATCATAGTCTTCTAATTCTGATTTTGTTGATTTTGTACAGAACGACGAGGCAGCTGTATTACAAGGGGAACAAGAAGCGGAGAAAATGATAGTGGAAGCTTATTCTGCCCTGCTTCTAGCATTCCTTTCAACTGAAAGGTTGGTTTGTTTTCTCTCTTTCTGTGTATCAAGCTTCTTTGACATATCCTCAATGCAAAATTTCTTTGCTGTCCTCAGTAAGAGCATACGTGATGCGATTGCTGACTGTCTCCCAGATCGCAGCCTGGCTATCCTAGTACCTGTGTTGGACAGATTTGTGGTATGTGTTTTAACTTCTAAATCTTTAACTTCGGTTATTTTTCAGTAATGAAAATACCCCATTTTTTATTTTAAAAAAAATCTAAATTTTTTTAAAAAAATCTAAAATATAAAAAATTGTCCGGAGGGTCTTTCTATTTGTTCACCTCATCATAAGGCCTCCTGTTGGACTTTGGCCAAAAACAGCAATGGCCTATCGTCTGCCCAACTGCATGCTCTTCCTTCAAGGAGTCTTTATCAAATTACCCTGTATTTCTGGTCAACTGATCTCAGCATCTTCTGCACTGTATTGCGGCATACTGTCGGGGACCAAATCAGTAGTTGGTGCTATAATGTGCTTCCAACAAACTCGAAATAATTTATTGATAATCATTCCGGGAGATGAAAATGTATAACGTGTGGTCTATGTAGCATGGAAAAGTATGATAATGGTGCACATAGTTGTTCACTAATGGCAACTTTCATTTCTTCTTCAGGCATTCCATTTGACGTTAAACATGATATCTCCAGAGACTCATAAAGCTGTGAGCGAAGTAATTGAGTCATGTAGGATACGATGAGAGGAGCTTCCTTTCAGAGATGGAAATCCTGTACAGATTTGGCTTTCCTTTCAGATAAATTGTTTACCCAACGCCACGACACTCATAAAGTTGCGATTTCAGCTGGATGCACTCTGTATCGAATCAATCTGACTGCAGGCTTGTTTGCTTGTATTTTTTCTTCTTTTTGGTCCCTCCTTTATGCTATTATTCTTTTGAATCCTTTTAGTTTTTCACCATACTGGAGCCAGGGAAGAGAGACATACTTGTATACGAAATATGATAGCTTAATGAAAATGTCTTACTTTCGTCGGTAGTCCATGTGTGTGATTAGCAATTTTTGTAACTCTTCTACTCTTTTTTAAATGTCAACAATTCTTCCGCAGTTTCTTTCATGGTTTCTGATCAATGTGGTGTGGACGCTACATATTTATTGCCATCGCCAGAACCTCCTCCACTATCAGCACACTAATTTACAGAAACAGTAGGGTAGGCCATTATAGGATGCGACACCATCATCAATCATCATAAACCATAAACATTTGAGTTTCACCCAAACTAGGTTTTCACAAATAAATTTTAGCATGACATATTATACAAATACCCATATAAAGCCTATTTATAGAGAAAAAAACCAAACTAGCCACTTGTCATTTTCTAATCTGTTCTTAGAAAATTTTTAACACAAAAAAACAATGGATTCAAGTTTAAAAAGGACCCCAAGTGAAGGCCCACTTATACCTGTAAGATTTGGGCCTCGCGTTATTGTGTACCTGCCCAGGTTCATTTTTTTCTCCTTCCCTCCATTTCCGATCCAATGACCTATGTATGAGTTCTTGACAATTTCTTTTGTTTCTGCATTACCCATGCCTCAAAATCTCTGCTTTTTTAATTTTATATGTGAACACAACGGTGATTTTGATACTGAGCTTCGTGGCTTTCCATTTTGAACCTTGTGGAAACCGTAGATTGTTTATTTTGTCAGGCCCATGCTTATTTAGTTTAAGAATTTATTGGGGATTTATAGTTTGTGTTGTGCAAAGAAATGGGTTCTAATTATATAGAGGACTTGTTATCCAACTTAGGCTTATTTGCAGGTTATTCTAGGATTGAATGTGATATTTCTAGTCTCTGGGTCTTTTTCTGATTCTTGATTATATGCAATGTGGAATTTCAGCATCATTGCCGGAGGTGTCGGTTCTGTCACCAGTTTTGCCAGTTTTGAAAGTGATCATGAAAGAATTAAGATTCATGCATTGGTAATTATTCTTGACCATTTGAGTTATAAATTCTTTGTTTTCTTGGAAGTCAAGTTTCTTCTAGTAAGAGAAAAGATCAAGCAGGGTCATACTAGAATTGACCACATAGACACACATTCAATGATAGCAGATCCTCTCAATAAAGCAATTCCAAATGGTGTTTTCAAGCAGCATGTGAAGAGCATGGGAGTTCTGTCAAGTTTTGATGATGAAGTCTAGTGGGAGCTCTTAATTCAGTTTCGTTCATTAATTATTTTTCTCCAGTTTAAAGTTTGTTCATGGCTATACATTAAGGTAGTTTTTGCAAACAGTAAGTTCTTTTATTATTGCATTTTATAGTTGCTACAGTTTTATTAAGGATATGCAATATTCAGTTGAGACTATGGTATGTTTCAATTAAAGTTTTTGTTTCAGATGCAACAGATTTGATTTGATTGATTGGGTGAAGCAAAGCAAAAAGATGTTGGAGAAGATCGGGTTGACGGCAAAGCCATCATTGAGAGGGAATACTTGGGTGGTTCACTGTCAGGGATGTACTTTTCAGTTCACCTTCATCATTCGCCAGGTTCATTTTTTTCTCCTTCCCTCCATTTCCGATCCAATGACCTATGTATGAGTTCTTGACAATTTCTTTTGTTTCTGCATTACCCATGCCTCAAAATCTCTGCTTTTTTAATTTTATATGTGAACACAACGGTGATTTTTAGGATTGAGTTTTGGTTTGATCTCATGGCGCCTAAAGTATGTTTGCTGTGGATACAATGGTTCAATACAGGATTCAATGTTTGTGTGTCCTAGTGGGAGAATGTAAGCTTGTATAGGACATCACAGTCATTGAATCAATCTTGAACTCATGTTTGCAAATATAGAGATCAATACAAACTCGTCCAGTAAACTCATTCAGATGTGAATAAAGAATCCTTATGAGTTTAGGAATCCTAATCCTATTAATATTGACATAAGTGTACAAATGCTAGGTGTACAAGTTATATTCTAATTGGGTTTCTAATGGGAGAAAATCCAATAAGATTTCCACCAGCTAACAGTATTAATACAGAGGTCCCTGCCTTCGCAAGAATACCCACCAAAACAGTACTTGAGCCCCATTGAGAGTTGGTGATCTAGAGCTTGCAGAAGGTAGAAGATCTTTGTGTACCAGAGTCAGTTTTCCGCAGGTTAGTGCTTGATGAGTTAGAGCTTCAATTGTTAAATCGATCTACATGCCCACTTCTCTTCTTGCTCTGCTTCTCCTTCTCCTTTTGGCCTACAATGGCTTCTATGTCTTCTGTATTTACCTTCCTCTTTCCAAGCCCTCGGCGGACCCCGCCATTTTCTCCCCGGGAAATCTCGCCGTGGAATCTGTAAGTAATTGGGTTCCTGCTCATGTTTCTTCTTCTTCTTCAAGTTCAAAAATTTCTTCTTCTGTGATGTATGTGGTGAAGGAAGAAAATGCGCCTATGTTCTTAGAGACCTATTTGCCTCCTCTGCACAACCCAAGAAATTCAATGGTACCCGTCTCAAAATTTTCACTCCAAAGGCCAAGGCAGATCAGAAAACACAAGCGCAAGCTCAAAAGCTTACCCCCTCAACCAAAACTCTCTCTGTTTTCAACAAGAATGAGAGACTTCTTTGCTGGTAACTCTTCCTCTTGTAAAGTCAGGTTCTTTATGACTTGGATTCGTCCAACACTTTTGGAAACAGGGAAATTGTTGGCTGTGGAGAGCTTGTTCAAGTCCCATCCAAATGCTTGTTTGGCCATAGTCTCAAATTCGCTGGATTCAGAGAAAGGAAGTCAAATTTTGAGGCCATTCTCAGGAATGGGTTTCAGGGTAATGGCAATTTCTCTGGACTTTGATTACTTATTCAAGAACACTCCTGCAGAAGCTTGGTATTATGAGCTAAAGGAAAGGGAAAGTGAATCCTGGTGGAGTTTCTTTGGGTCAAAATCTCTCTAATTTGCTTAGGCTTGCTATGTTGTATAAGTTTGGTGGTATTTATTTAGACACAGATGTTATAGTACTAAAGAGTTTATCAAAGTTGAGAAATGTGATTGGTGCTCAGGCAATTGATGCCCAAACTGGGAATTGGAGCAGACTGAATAATGCTGTGTTGGTATTTGATAAGAACCATCCATTGATCTTCAAGTTTATCCAAGAATTTGCTCTTACATTTGATGGGAACAAGTGGGGTCACAATGGCCCTTACTTGGTTTCAAGGGTGGTTTCAAGAGTGAGAGAAAATCCAAAAAACCCAGGTTTTAATTTCACTGTCTTAACATCCTCAGCGTTCTATCCATTTAATTGGAGCCGAATTCGGAGTCTCTTTCGGGGTCCTAAAGATGAGCTTCACTCAAAATGGTTACTTGCAAACCTGAGGCATATTCGTTCTCAAAGCTTTGCACTGCATTTGTGGAACAGCCAGAGTAGATGGCTGAAGGTTGAGAAGGGAAGCATTATTGATCATCTAATGTCAGAATTTTCATTCTTTTCCAATTCTTCAGCTTCAAGCTCTGTCAAGATAGAATAGGTTGATAAATTATGCATGAGTTACTTTGTCTTATTCATGTGTTACTTTGTCTTATTCATGTGTTACTTTGTCTTATGTACATCTTGATGATCCTGGAAGAGCTGAATGGGAAGGATTTCCATCAGGGACCAAGGCTGCTGCTGCTGGTATGCCTATACCTCTGCTTCATTATTATGTTTTCATAGCTTTTAAATCGCTGATAGATTTATATTTTCTCTGTTGCAGGTGGGATAACTACATTGGTTGACATGCCTCTAAATAGTGATCCATCAACTGTTTCTAGAGACTTTGGAGCTCAAGATTAAGGCCGCAGAGAGCAGAATTTACGTTGATGTTGGTATGCTCTTAAAACTATATATATGTTTGGGGAAGCCATTATACTAAAACTTTTGAGAACTACTGGGTTTTACCTACACACTGTTGGCAGGTTTCTGGGGAGGTCTTGTTCCTGAAAATGCATTCAGCGCATCTGCTCTTGAGGATCTGTTAAATGCCGGTGTTCTTGGTTTGAAGGTTAACTAATCAAGAAGTGAAACTGGCACACGCTTTAATAGAATAGTACAAATGCCATGAAGATGAATTTGTGTTTAGAAATTTTGCAGTATGAATAGAACATTATACCATCCTCATCTGACAAATTTTTCCTTGTCTGTTTTTCTAGTCTTTCATGTGTCCATCAGGGATCAATGACTTTCCTATGACAAATGCCAGTCATATTAAGGTTTGTTTCATGAGATTCAGTCTTCCCACTGTCATATAATCGTCTGATTTAGCTTGCAAAATAAATTAAGAATAGAATCAATGACTTAATTGTATTGCTGCTTATCCAACTCTACCAGTACTAATTTAATCAACACAATCAATTATTCATTCGTGATGGCTGAAGACTTGCATGATCAGTTGGCTTCTTGAGATGCGATGTTGTTTGCATAACTCTGATGTCTTTTCAAACATCTGCACATTGTTTTCAATTATCTGTTCTTTAGGAGGGACTATCTGTACTGGAAAAATATAGAAGGCCTTTACTTGTACATGCAGAGAAACAACTAGATCTTGAAAGCGACTTGGGAGTTGAAGGTGGTAGTAATGATGCTCATTCTTATTCGACGTATCTGAAGACCAGGCCACCTTCATGGTAAGATATTATGTACTTTTGAATGTATGTGACTTTCTGGATGCTGAATACATATTGCAAAATTTTCCCCTCAGACTTGCTATCCCTGAATATATTTTTACATGAAAACTGTTTTTCCTCTGTTTCCAAACCAGGGAAGAGGCAGCTATTAGGGATCTCTTGACCTTGACAAAGGACACAAGGTTTGGTGCCCCAGCAAAAGGAGCTCATCTTCATATTGTTCACTTGTCTGACTCAAGCTCTTCATTAGATCTTATTAAGGTGGTCTTTTATACGTATGTGGTTTTTGTGGGGTCTTATGACTCTAACAGATACAAATGGCCATTCATAACTTTCTACCTATTCAGCTCTATCTGCAGCCACATATTTTATCAGACTTACTGAAAGCAAGTTTTGTGCATAATAGCAGGATGCAAAAAGTGGTGGTGACAGTGTAACTGTGGAGACGTGCCCCCACTACTTAGCATTCGCAGCAGAAGAGATTCGGGATGGAGATACTTGTTTTCAGTGTTCTCTACCCATCCGTGACACTGCCAACAAGGAAAAACTGTGGGAGGCTTTGTTGCTATGCAATCATTCTATGTTTGCCTGTATACATGATGGGATAGCCATCTATCCACCATCAAATTGGTTCTATTTGGTTTCACTGTTTTGTTTCAGGTAGGACATGTTGACAAGCTAAGCTCTGATTATTCACCAACTCTGCTGGAACTCAAGCTTCTTGATGATGGAGACTTTTTCAGGGCTTGGGGTGGCATTGCAGGTTGGCATATTTTTCCTTGCAAATGTTATGGTCTGTGATTGGTTTCAGAAACTAACTGGCATTCCTCAGGGGAATTTGCAGTTTGTTCTTCCCGTGACATGGTCATATGGCCAGAAATATAGAGTGACTTTAGAACATCTAGCTTTATGGTAGAGTGAAGGCCCGTCAGGCTTGCAGGACAAGAATTGAAGGTCATATCATCATCCGTTTTTCCTCTGTTTTAGTGATTTTCATGCAGACAGGAATCTCATTGTACTGATGAATTGAATTATAAATTTGCAGGGAGCAATTGCAATTGGGAACCATGCAGATATGGTAGTGTGGGATCCAGATGTGGAGTTGTCTTATTTTCGTATTTGGCAGGTCCATAGTTGTCATAGACTGTCTTCTGCATTTTTATAGGGATTTTTTAGAACACTTGTGACCTTAAACGGTACTATGATCTTCCAAGGACAAGCAACAGAACCCACGGTTGTGGTTGAAGCTTATAAAGTTCTACAAGATCTACCAAGGAAATGACTGGCCTTGCTTTTTGGCAACAAGCATGTTAACCTATCAATAAGTTTATATAGATAGAAGGTGACATTTACATTAACCTTTTCTACTATGCATAAAAAGAATTATTGTTAATCCGAACATCCAAAGCCGAACACGGAGGATGTAATTCATAATGCACCCCGGAAAAGTTGGAATGTGCGACCAATTCGAGACCTAACGTTTAACTTGTTGGAGACCTGACAATACAAAAAATGAAAGCAGATGAAGTGAAGCGACAAGAAGAAACAAAATAGAGAAAAGTATTTAAAATCAAGAGGAACAAAGCAAAAACCGGATGGGCAAAGAACTAATAAAGCAATCAAATGACGTCTCCATTTTTACCTGTTAAAAGTGCCACAAAAACTCTTCAAAGTCAGTATTCGTAGTAGAGCTAGGTAATCCCTTCTTCAACTCGTTCTCATTGACAACAACATTCACAGCAAATGTTGCACAAACTGGCCGGTGGTCAGATAATTGGGACTCTCCACGTATGTAAGAAAGTTGTGTAATCCCATTTCCGTACCATAATATTCTATCACACCTGCAATATGGAACTAGTTAAAAATATTTGTCAAATGTAAATTTGATTTCATAAGTACATTCTTGCAATCCACATACCAAGCTGGGGTTCTTCTGTCTTTTTTGGATGTCTCTGTCTCTCCCAAATAAGCATCTGAGTTATACGAGTATTTGTATGTAGGTGCAAAACAAATTTTTCCCTCTTTCCATCCTTTGAATACTCGCTCTGCTTCTTTTTCAATATTGAGCTATAAATACAAACAAAAAATTTATTAATGCACAACATGAGAGAATTAGAATGTGTAGGTGATAGAAAAAAAAGAGACGGAGAAAGCAAAGTATATGACTCAAAAATGACAACCAAATGCCTTGGACTTCTCTGGCAGTGAAAGCTACAAAGTTTAATTATATTTTGGATAAATATGAAATGAAATGCAGTGCTCATTTCCATCACCAAATGGATCATTCATTGAATTGGTACTAATGCAATGCCGGTTTTGTTAAATTCAATTACCTGGTCTTTGTCAAGAAGTGCATTCAAATCATTGTTGTTCAGAAGTTGCCGGGTTTTGGAGTAGCTCAAAGCAATACGGTAATTCAAATCCGCTAACCATATGACCACACTACATTCATTTGCAAAAGCATTTAGTCAGATAACCAGTTTCCATAAATGTGAGAAAATATTGATGGGTTATAAATAAGGATGAAAACACCATTTAAAGATACTTACTCGTGTCCTAGAATGTTATCTGGCATCCTGCTATGAGTTGTTTTGCAAATATCAGGAAACTGAGTGTTCTTAATTGTCTCTAACACATCCTGATTTCTCTTGAGCTCATCCCCCTCTTTCTCACCGGATGCTAAGTGATTACAGACAAAGCAAAAGCTTGTCAGATGGAATAAAAAACGTACAGAAATACAGCCCTGCAAGTGAACAATAATAACCTAAGCTTACAATAAAAGGTGATATGTTCAATCATGCACAACTGACAACAATAAACCTTTATGCTTCTAAATTATTTTAGCAATACCTTGTTTCCAAGACATCCCATTATCCCACGATTTATACGAGAGATTTTTAAGTGGCTCACAAATGGTATGTGCTCCTTCCTTGCCCAAATTGTAATAAAAATCCCCACCAATTGCGTACTAGCTATAAGGCTATACTTCAAGTGGTCGCTAATAGACGGCATGAACATTTCCGATATATCAAAGTCATTTGATTCATCATCTTCATTTGGCGTGCAGTTGCAACTCTTCAACCTCTTTTTGCTCTCTGTCCTTAGAGTCTTACTGAACTTTTTAAGTGAAGGCTTAGAGGAAAATAGTGAACCACTGGCTTTGCTTTTTGAAGACCCATCTGGTGATTTGTTCAGTGACTGATTGATTAAGCTAAGCCATTTTGTTGCAGGTTTGTTATCTTCTAGAACTAGCACATTTCCAGTATTTAAAGAGATAGTTTCCTGAAAACTGATAGTAGAAAGCACAAAAATATATGAAAGGATCAGTTAGTATCTGCTACAGAAGCACCTTTATAACATGGAAATACATTTTCTTTTTATAGCTTCTACTAAAGTGATGTCAAAAAACTGCACAGAGAGCACAAAGTCACCATGTTGTAACACAAAGTGACTACTTTATTTGTATAGCTTGTCTCTTTGTGTTTTCTTGACCACACTATCATACTCAAAATGTTGTTGTGACTCATACAATATGTATGTTTTGAAATCAAGTACCTAAGTACATGTCTGCCGCGCAAATCTCACGGCCTGGAGTTCCGGGCCGAGGGGATATGCGTTAACACACGCGGTTTCCTGCTTTTGGGTGCGGTGCGGTTGTGCGCGGGCGTGCCAGCACGGTTTACCGTGCATCGATGTGTTGATGAGTGTTGGATGGATAAGTGGTGCGCCTGTTTGAACTCGTCTTCCTAATCAAACGATTGTAGCCGAGAGAGGAACTGGTCTCGGCTGTTACGTGATGATTTGCTTTTAATGCCTTGGCCGTGATTTTGTTCGGCCTAGGCTTCGGCCTGCGCTTGAGGCCGAGATGATCATGCCTTAGCATTTCTCTTTTGTCTTTAGGAAGGCGAAGTACCCTGGCGAAATGCTGCGTTTCAGTTTTTATGAACAAGTGCCAGGGTCGAGGGAAGGGGCTCCTTCGGCCAGCTTATGGCCGTGATTTATCAGGCACAAACAGTACACAATCTCATTTGAAAAAAAATTGTCATACCAAATCTCTCACTACTGGATGGATGCTTTTTGGGTGGATGTGAGGGGGAAAAAATGCTAACGGAAAGGAGATGCATATTTTACACGAAATGTTGCAAATGAAAAAACAAGTAATCAGGTCCCTAAGAAAAACAAAACGATATTATCAATTTGAAACTGTACAAATCAGAAGGGAACAACAAAGTAAACGAAAAACAACGAATAGAGAAACCATACCCCAAGACATAAATGTTTGTTTCATTATTAACTTGCAGAAGATCGTCCAGATTTAGGCCATTATCAAGAGAATCAGGAGATTTCCCTCCTACGTTCCATGTTGCTGCAAAAACTCTACAAAACCAAGGGAAGAAATATCAAATGTTAAAGCTACGTATAGTTGTCAAAGGGTACAAAGACAGAAACAAGAACTTTTCTGTGAATTGTAGAAGATATTGTGATTACCGCAAGGACTGAAGCTTTGTGCCACTTATAAGTTGAGCGTCAACTGCGGGATTGGAGTGTGGTTCTGAGAGAAGATATGAGCAACGAAAATTTCATGGTAAGGTGTCAAATTTATAAGAATTCTAGGTAAAGCAAGAAAAAAGTTTCTTTACATATTAAACTTGCCCCTAAGGAACCAATTATTTTAACTCATATCATAAGATTTAGGCTTTTTATCACAAAACATCCCTGACGTTTGCGAAACTATCAAATTGCATCCTTAAAGTTTTTTTGTATCACTCATGGTCCCTAACGTTAATATAGGTGCTCTTAAATAGTCCCTCTGTCAAAAAAACTGTTAAATTCAGGGATATAATCATCAAATCAATTCAAAATTATAATATATATATATAAATCTTCTCTCTCCCCTCTTTCTTTTCTATTTCCTATCCTTCTCTCCTCTCTCTCTCTCTCTCTAAAAAATAACCATATCTGACTTTGCACCGCCATTTGAGAACCAGAGAAACAATAGACCACTCATCCCATGTTTTCTCTTTCCCATTTCATCTCCTCCATGTTCGATTTTTTCAGCTCTCTTTTTTAGTCAATATATATCAAGGATGCAATAAACAATGACAGCAAGAAAAAAAAACCCATAAATTAGTGAAAAAAATCAACTCAAAAATTGGATTGTCTTAACTAAATTAAAAAATCATCTCGGAAACCAATGTCTAAACAGCAAACCCATGTTTCAGACCCAAAAAAAAAAAAAAAAAAAACCAGGGAAAAATTAACTCTTTGTTTGTGGAGAAGCTTTTGTTTGCTGTCAGAGATTGCACTTCAATTTAGTCTGGTGTGATATATTTTCGTTCTAAATTTCTGTTCATTGAGCTATTGGTATGGACTAAAGCTTGGGAAAACACTTCAGGTGGGAAGAGAACTCAGAAAAGCACCGGGAAGAATAGTGGTCTTTTGCTGATCAGTTTGCACAACCACTGCTCCGAGACCAATTCAAGCTGCATGATTTTGTTCACAAGGGATCCATCTCCACTCCAGTGAATCAAACAAAGAAGCCAACCCTTCTAATTGCAATCATAATGGGTAAGACAGTCCACGCCCCATTTGCCATACCTCCTCCATTGATATATATATTGACTAAAAAAGAGAGCTGAACTCGGGGAGAGGAAGAAAGAAGAAAAAAAGAAAGTGACAGAGAGAGAGAAGAGAGAAGGAAAGGAAACAGAAAAGATAGAGGGGAGAGAGAAGAATTATATATATATATTTTATAATCTTGGATTGATTTGACAATTATATCCCTGGATTTAACAGTTTTTTTTTACAGAAGGACTGTTTAAGAACACTTATATTAACGTTAGGGACCATGAGTGATACAAAAAAACTTTAAGGATGCAATCTGATAGTTTCGCAAACGTCAGGGACCTTTTGTGATAAAAAGCCTAAGATTTATAGGAACATAGAAAGAGAAAGGAGATCTAATCCAAAATATTGGTTTTGAGGTAGAGAGGGAGGAGAGGGACATGCTTTATGCTTGCTACCTTTGTTGCAATAGCTAGAATTTCAAACATGAATATACGTAACCATTCGTCCCCTACCTTGGTCCCCTCCCTGTAACAGTCAATATCTTCTTACCAGCAAAGCTATTTTAGACCCAAAAAAGTTAAAAGTTAAAATTATTGGTCTTACTTACCACTTTGATGTGCACATTATTCTACCAAATTAATTCCAACCGATCCAATTATATCACAAATCTATTGAAATAATTAAATAACGAGTTGAAGACCATATGTGTATTCCAAATACATTGCCCAATTTTTGTACTAGTTGCTTATCCTCTCCTATCAATAAAATTCATCGCTTTCTCTCCAAAAAGCCTAGCTTTACTAGTACATTACACGTCCAAATTAATCATCCCTATCTTACCAAAAAAAAAGTTAAAATAAGGTTAAAAAAGAAAAGCAATATCACATATTTTTTTTTTAAACAAATGGAATTGTATTCTGCTATCTCCGTAACCAAAAAGAAAAGGAAAGACAACATCATCTGTACAATATGAGTTCCTAATTTCGAGGAATATCCTCAGTTTTTTTAGGAGGCAAAGAGAGAGCACATTGTCTGCCCCTAGATTTTCATTGATGGGAAACAATGATGATAAGTGCTTGTATTCAAGACAGAATGAAATTCAATAGACTCACCAGAGAAATCAGATGAGCCACTTCCTTCTCCCTTGAAAATCTTACGGATAAAAGACTGAAACAAAAGGGTAGCATAAAATCCAATTAATTAACTAAATCTGATTAAAAAAAGACTCTTATCTTTGACAAAAGATGCAGATTTTGAGAGGTAGAATTATCCAATTTCTTCAACTACAGAAAAGAGAGAAGAATAAGAAAAAGAACCTTCTTTTTCACGACTTGATTCCCTAGATTCATTTCTGAAACTGCTACTGTTTTATAAATTGGATTCACAGACCTTCGGAAAGAAACATATACAGATGCTGCAATTAGATACAGGGACGGACCCAGGATTTCAAATTGGGGTGGGCTAAATTTACATTATGCACAAACCTAGAAAACTCGACTCGAGTGAATTTCATTGATCACAAAAAAAATATATCCTAATCAAGAGGACATAATGAGTTTTACCCCATAAAATTCATCTAGTACATGTATCTTTTTTGTTTTCTACGAGTAGGAGTGTGTGAAGTGAAGAATATGTTATTTTCTATCAAAGTCAACGTATTCTTACTCCCTTAGCAGCTAGAAAGAAAGGCCGTCCACCATTTAAAAGGAGGAAATCTCAGTTGGAGCAAGCAGTCAAGAAGAAACAAGATAGTAAAAAGAAGAAACAAGATAGTAAAAAGAAGAAACAAGAGAGTAAAAAGAAGAAACAAGAGAGTAACAAGAAAATCAAATCTTGTGGAAACAACACTAATGGAGAGAAACAATTGAATGTATGCAAGTAAAATGGATACAGTTTTTATTTATTTTCTAATGTATTATTTAATCAATAAAGTATTTAATTGTGATTGTCCTTGAATTTTTATGTAGGATTTGCAGCCAATAGATTTTGATGATATTGGCCATATTGTTGGTTTATCCACTTCTAAAGGTGATGGTGTAGTTGGAACACAAGAGAGCATTGCTATGCAGGTATGACATGAATGTTTTGTTTTGATTGATTGTTTTGTTTGTTAAACTTCATTATTAGTCATTCGCTCTAGTACCGTTGTAATGACTAATATTATGGATACATTGCAGGAAAATATGGCCACATTTGTGGGTTTTACTCAAAATAGTCAATTAAATCAATTGTATAGAGGGTATGAGATAGGACATATGGATCATCCAATCCTTCATGAGAATCATTTTCTGGTAGTAGAAAAGAAATATATACATGCCTGGCTTTAGTTCTGGAGGAAGTGGTGGCCAACGAAACTGATCATTGGAAGCAAAAGAATTGCACTTGCAGAAGTTGTTAACACTTTGAAATTGAAAATTTATCCATTTTTTGTTAATGTAGACATTTTTCTGTTTAGTGTTGTAATTGAAAAGACCATATTGCTTTAATGTAGACCATATTGCACTTGAGATTGATTGGTTGTAGTTTGAGATTGGTATTAGTCAAAAAGCAAGAAACCTCATTTGAAATCAAATACACTCTAGATATCATGGAAGTGAAGCATACAGCGGCAACAAATCCCCAGTTTGCAACAGGTCCCCAAAAGTGAGTTGTTTTTTGACCAACTGGACCGTTCTTTTTGGTAACTGAATAATTCTGTTAGGCACTCGCCAGCAAAAAGAAATACAGAAAAAGAGCCAGACAAAAAGCTCCAAAGAACCAACTAAAAAGTTGCTAGCTAACATGCCCAAGACAGAGCCACAGAAACAAAATTAGATCATAGCCACATCAAGAATACAAATGATTGATAGAGTTCCCAGGCTCCCTTGGCAATTTTCCCCAAACAGCAATTGATGAGGGGTTTGGAATGAGACTCAACACAAATGTGAGAATAGCCTTGGTCAGCAGCCAAAGAAAGACCCTCAATATTAGCCCGAGCTTCAGCATCCACATCAGATATTCCTGCAAATTTTACCACTTCTGAACTCCCCATGGTGATTCCTAATAATTATTCCAATGCCAGTGTGCCTAGAGTTATTGAACCATGCAAATTTTACCACTCAAGAATGCTCAGAATAATGTCATATCACAGCTGCTTAGAATCTTTGTAAGGTCAAAAGAAGAAAAAAAACCATTCAACAATGACAAGATAAGTAAGGGCAAAATCTGAACATATAGGCCTCGTTTGCCATGAAAACTTTCATTTGCACAACAACAAGAATTCAACTTTCATGTGTTGGAAACGTAAACAACGAATGCACTAAAGCATCAAATGCATAATTAAGATAATGATTTTAATTGCTTAAATGAACATCAGAAATCATTAAAGCACTTCTTCAAACGATCGATATACCCAATTGCAATAACAAACATTTAAACACTGCAAAGAAAGACCCATGATTTATCCTAACCAAAAAGATTAAAAGAATCTCAAATATTGTTAGAGAATTCAATCATTAAAACTCACACAGTAATTGAAACAAACACAAGATCTTCACGATGAAAGAGAAGCACTGTGGGGATGAAGGAGACACCGACCATAGAAGAATCACTTATGACGAACAAGTCCTAGAAAGAAATAAGAGATCAGAGATGACATGGTCTGCGCCAGAGCAGAGATGGGTGGGCTTCGCTATTGCTGGAAACAGAGTCAACGATTGATGATCTGAGTTGCAGGAAGGTCACAAAGGCCGCACGGTTTATCCTGTCTTTTAGGTTTCTGTAAAGTGAAGGGTGAAAAAAATATTAAAATATTAAAAATATTAAAAGCTCATTTAATGATATGGCATAGCCAACTCAACAGCCACATCAGTTGGTACACAAATATGGTACAAATAGATAGTCTCCTAGCATTACCCTAAAAAAAATGGAACACTGTTGCTTCAAACTGGTCTCTCACAAGGACTTATTCGAGGTCATCGCTGGGGGTGCGTGTGGACGCATCACAGCCATTCAAATTAAAAATCATTTTAAGTTACATCCGGTCAGATTTTACCCATTAGAAAAACAATAACCCGAACCCAAAAAAGCTTCACTTCACTTCACTCTCCCTCACCCATTCCTGAGATCTTACCACCTGCTTATCTCGATCCTCCCAGGCATCACACATGGTGATTTGGGGGGTTTTGCATTGCTAATTGGGGGTTCCTGATTCGATTAGCTTCTGCTTATTGCAAGGCTGGGAAGAATGCTGAGGTGGCTGCTGAAGCTCTGGCTATGTCTGTCTGCACCTAATGGCGAGGCAAAGCCAAGGGGTGAAGAAGAATCTTCACGATTATCTCGCGATAATAGCTCTAAGAAGCCATATGTATCAATATCAAGCAAATGGGAATTCCAGAGCTTCAAAGCCCAAATATCGTCCTGTTTCAGTGGGCAGTGTTTCAAGCATTATCGGGAAACGATCTTCCTGCTAATTGCTTGATGATTAGTACACAATTTATTTTGAATTTGCTTGGATTGACACTCTTAGTTTTGACTTTGAGGCACCCTTTGTTTATTGCTTTGTTGTTCTTATTTTTTATTTAAAATTTTATATTTACTTGGACTTCTTATATGCTTAAAAGTAAGTTGTAGACAGGGACGGACCCAGGATTTCAAATTGGGGTGGGCTAAATTTACATTATGCACAAACCTAGAAAACTCGACTCGAGTGAATTTCATTGATCACAAAAAAAATATATCCTAATCAAGAGGACATAATGAGTTTTACCCCATAAAATTCATCTAGTACATGTATCTTTTTTGTTTTCTACGAGTAGGAGTGTGTGAAGTGAAGAATATGTTATTTTCTATTAAAAAAGAAAATAGGGGTATTTTCAACCAAAAAATGGGGGCTTAGCCTTTGGCCCTTTTTGTACCAAAAATAAATAAAAAAGGAGAAGGTTTAGGGTTGAGTAACTGACCCTGACTTATATCTTAATATTTCTAGTGCAAAATTGCAAAAGAAAAAAAAAAAAAAAACAAAAGAAGAAAAAGTCCAAAAACAAAACAAAACAAATGACCATAGACTCATAACAGTGGAGCACCCAAGTGGCCCACAACCAATAAAAGAGTGCAGTGCGTGGTTGTCTATTGGCTGGGCTGAGTATATTAGTTTAGGCTGAAAAAAGACAAAGTTACCTGGGCTATAGCCCAGGTTAGCCAAAGGGTAGGTCCGTCCCTGGATGTATATGTGATATTTAAGGGTTTTTATTTTTTAATGATGTTAATGTGTGAAAACTAATCTGGGTTTATTTGGAATCTGCAGATAGTTGCGGATATGATATGGAAAAGGTACACTATTTATCAAATTCAAAGCCTTTCCCTTTCCTCCAATTGATGTCATTTTATCTTATTGTTACTTCTGGAAACCTCCAAGGCAGTTTCTTGACAATTTTGTGGTTTTTTTTTTCTGGACATTGTATGCACAAAATAATTTGCCCATTTTTTCTGCTATTATACAATTATTTTCTCGTATGCTAGACGTTGGAAAGATACGTAGAGTACTCCAAAGCAATAACTTTCAATATTTTTTTTTTCCTCAAATACCATTCAGAGCATGGAAAAGCTGATTAATTTGCCAGCTTCAGACAAAGGGAACGAACTCGTCATTAGATCCAGTGATAAGGTTAGTAAAGCTTCCAAGCTTTTAAGAACATAGCCCCAAACAGGATTTTACAGGGACATTATAGAGTTCAGCAGCCATTTTCATTACCTTCTTTATTGTCATTAGTGCAGCATCTAAGTCTTGCTTATTCCATCAAGAATTTTGATCAGTCATCTTTGTGCTTTTGAAATGCCAGCCAGATGTGGTAATAACTAAACCATGTGCCATGTGAAATGAATCCTACTGCTGCTATGTCTGTTAATGTGTACTTTTCTCTCTTGTAAATATGTTGTCATGCTTAATTGTTCTCTTCCGATCCATTTGTCAACTAGTCAAGGGTAAATCACCCTTAATTGTTCTATTTCAATTAATTGTAAGTTTTTGGTAAATTTTACTGTTCTTTTCTTTATGAAATTGAAGATGTGTAGTTATTGAAAATGTCTTATAATTTCTCCTATTTATAAAAATTTGGTCGGTTGCTGCATAGCCTACATATTTAGGTCATGGACTAAAATTCTTAGTCATTTCTCTATGCTTTATGCATATAATTTTCATAAGGGAACAAATTAGGATGTACTAATTCCACAAAAGGAGAAGAGACGCAATTCATGGATGGCATACACTACACATGCACAATAATTTCGGTTGAGGAGATTAAACCATTCTCCCCTGCAATTGATGCTAATTTAAGATTTCCTTTAGCTTGTTAGAGATTGAAGTGCTACTTAGATGGAGGTTTTTATTTATTATGGGATTTATGCTGAAATTTTAAATTTCATATTAATATTGTATGTTTCTTTGCAATGTTCAAAGAAATATTTCCAGGTTGTCTGCAGCTTATTGCTGATACAAATTACTTCTTGTCACATTTCTATCTGTTCCACCCTCGACCTCGACCTGCTGCCTCAATGGACAAGCCCAAGAGTTTGGAAATGGTTGTATATTAATATTTGTGTTGGCAATGGCATTGAGGCATTCCAAGAACTGTTACGTTATGTTATGCTTGTGTTGCATTGTGTATAACTGCTTTGTGATAAAAGTGATTTATATAGGAGCTCCGTTATGGTTTTGAGAGCTCGCTAGTCATTACTTTTGGCTTTTGGCTTTAGAGCAAGTCCACCCATGAAGGCTAAGGCAAGGCAAAGGCAAGGCAAAGGCAAGGCAAGGGCTGCCACTATTCATGTGAATAGTGGCAGCCTTGCCTTAGTTGGTTCCACCCTTGGAAGGTTAGGGCAAGGGCAAGAAAAAAAAGAAGATTATGCAACAAAATATAAACAATTTAGAAAGTGAATAAAATTGTTATGTATTTTATAGGGAAAACATCCATAATATTTTGGTTTTTTTATAAAAAAAAAAATTGAATTTTTTTGGAATTTTTTGGAATTTTTTTTGCTCGCTGACGTCAGCGTGACATCAGCGCCTTTGGGCTTGAGCCCAGGCAAGATTTGCCCGTGGGCTTGCCCAGGCTGGTGGGTCCCATGCCTTGCCTGGGCTTGTTCTCTACCGCTGGAGTCGAATTGGGCTTGCCCGAGCAGCCTTTTGACCGGTTTTGCACCAACGCTGGACTTGCTCTTAGGGCATCTGTTAAAATGTTTTTTCTTCCTGTTGTCAATGGCACGTGTTAAATCCCCAGCCACAGCAGTGTATTTCAGCACTTCCCCTCCCCATCGCTGTAATTTTTTATAAAAAAATGCTCACTCAGAGTTAGGCTCCACCATCATCTTTAAGCCTTTGACTATTTTACTGAGGACAAAATAAACATTAATAACATCTCAACAACCAGTGGACGGGTTATTGATATGCCGTTGATAACATTTAAAATCATTTTAAAATTCAATTAAACTCCATCAACTTTATGACTATTTTAAAATAATTTAAAATCTAAATTAAATACACCCTCCTATGAACATTCTAAAAGGTATCCATGCCTAAATTATTTATGACTTAGGTTTGCACGTTTTGGTTGGAGCTTTTTATCTTAAACAATTCATTAAAAAAATTACATAAAAATATACTGAAAATTACTACAAACTCCTTATGACATGGTCTTCGATTATGGAAGTCTAAAATCACGACTCCATGTATTTAAGTTCATTGTAATCATTAAATCAAAGAGTATTAGGTGATAGAACATTGACTATTGTGTTCGTTTGTTTATAAACAAAGTTGAATTCTTGTTATCACTTTGCATTTTTATAAGTCAAAGTTAAATTTTTGGAGCTTTAGAGTGAAGAGAATGTCACAAGAAGTTCATATGAATTTTCGATGTATTTTTCTGATTTTTAATTTATTTATTATGAATGTAGAAGTTAAATCTTAAAAAACATAAGAATATTAGATAGAATGTCACGTGTCAATAGCGGAAAGGGGCACCATCACTGATTCAGACGAGTGGCCTTATACAAGAGAGACACATGTCATTTCTCTTTATTTGTTGTTTATAAAAAGACAATTCAAAAAATTAAATTTAAAGATACATAAAAAATTGATATAAACTTTTGACCTTCGATTATGGAGGTCTAAAATCACGATTTCACATATTTGAGGTCATTGGAATCATTGAATCAAATAAACAAGAGCGTTTGGTAATAGAAATTGGAGATCCCAACAAATATATCTGCAAAATATAAGAGAGAATGAAGTTGGTACCTTAGGAATAACAAGGAAATCAAGAACTCCAAGGAGGTCAGTGATAAGGTCACGGTAGGAGGTCTTCTCGGGTTGGGGAGGCAGCACAGACAGAGCTACTCTAGGGCTTGGGGTGGCCTGGATTAAAAAGAAATGATTTGTCCAATTGAACAAGTGCAAGTATTCTCCCAATGTAACCTTAAAGCCAAACTTAAAGCCAAACTTAAGCACTCTACTCGTCTTGCTATGCTTTTCATTTTATGATGGAAATCCTATAACATGAATTGAAGTGCTTGACCCAAAAAAGGAAGAAGATATATTTATTCAAAAACTTATTTTAGCATGACATATTATATAAAAACTTATATATAACTTATTTGGAGAGAAAAATCCAAAATTAGCTGCTTATTATTTTATAATTGGTTTTTAGTGTGTTAAAATTTAATAAGAATCAATTAGAAAATAACAAGTTGTTAGTTTTGGGTTTTTCAATCCAAATAAACTATTTAAGGGCTTTTGTTTATTATATCATGCTAAAATGAGTTTATTAGTAAAATCATACATAAATAAATAAAG